TTTACAAGTTAATTTTAGCAGCTTAGCAATTTTCCAGAGGTAGAAAATGCCACCCATCTACACATACACACATAGACATTAACGAATAAGCAGAAACCTGGTAGTTGTTATTTTAAAATTTTAACCGTAAGATAGATATGATAATACAGAACTCATTAGTTTACAAAATAACAGTTGGATTCTAACTATTTCTGGCAGATGAAATAAGTTAAGGTTACCGGCTCAGATGGCTATTTTTTCTACTAAAATTTGTGGAGAAGACATATGAATTTTCATTTATCTAAATTTCAGAAGACTTTTACTCCTTTCATTCTACTCATAAGAATTACCTCACTGAGGTTTGTACTTTTATTTTTTCACCTCAAAGTCACAGGGAAAGAATGTAAGTTCCTTCGAAAAAGACTTTGATTTTTCTAAGGACAATACTTTACAAGCCTTTGGAGATAAACAGGAGAGGTATAAACAGGAGAGGTTTGGAGATGGGTGAAAGGGATAGGTTAACTTTGAATTGCCTCTCCACATGCATTTCTAGTCTTGTAAAGATTTTTAAGATAAGGACAGTTGCTTTTAATTCCTCAGAGATTTGGGTTATATCCTAGATGAGCAATGACTGACTTATCCATCCACCTGTGTGGGAATGCTTCTCTGTCCCACATTCAGCTTAGAGAAGGACTTAGCTTCTCTCAGTTTTTTCAAGATCCCATCTGTAGGCTGTGAACCAGGTTTAAAGCAGAGTTCATAGCTCTGAAATTTGCTGGAATTTGGGAAGGTTTTCTATTTTGTGGGTTTTTGTTTGTTTTTGAGAGAGTGAGCAAGTGAGTGTGGGTAAGAAAAAGAGGGAGAGGGAAAGAGAGAATCTTAAGCAGCCTCCACACCCACGAATAGCTCCATCCCAGGACCCTGGGGTCATGATCTGAGCCAAAGGCAGATGCTTAACTGACTGAGCCACCCAGGTACTCCTAGGCTTTGGTCTTAGGTACTTGTTCTGTCTTTAATTTTATGTTAGTCTTTTATTTATTTTTTTTAAAGATTTTATTTGTTTATATGACCTGAGCTGAAGACACTGAGCACCCAGGCCCCTACATTAGTCTTTTATAATAGATATTTCAATGCAGCTATTTTGTAATTTAGAAACCTCTTGGAGGCTTATGCACACCAATTAAAATCACATATCACATTCTGTTTAATTTGGTAATCCTTCCTTTTAACTGTGCTTCTTAAATGAGCTGATCTAATTGGAACGTTACTCATAATGGCCACTGTAATTCTAGCTTGTCTTTGGTAAGATTTTGCCAGTTCTATAGATATTTTTAGCTTTTGAGACCACAGTTCTTAGGCATAAAATAAGCAAGTGTGCCAGATGGTGGCACACTTCACTCTTTAGAATTAAGGATCCTATCTTTACTATTATTTATTATTTATTTTGTAGCTTAGTCTGAGTTCCTCAGAGCCAGATTAACACACAGGAGAGATGTGCTGTGGAGTTGGGGTTGTGTGGTGTTTCATGGTGTGCCTCACTGCACAGAATTTTTCTTGAGGTTGGCAGGTGACCTAGTGACAGTCTAACTGGTTCTGTGCTCCCCCTCCCCCATCCTAACACAGGTGTCTTAGGGCTAAGTGGTGAGCACTGTAACAGCTCTTAATGCTTGACTCATGCTTACCAATTTTTGTGGCTTTTTGGGCCCCCACGACTCCCATTAGCAGTTAACTTTTACATCATGTGCACATTCACAGAAACTAGTATCTGAGGAACTAGAGCTATGGACTTCAGCAGTGACTAAAGAACTGGGGAGAGGGGAAAGTGTTGATCCAGCAAACCTCAAAGAACAGAGACTGTGGACTGACTATAAACAAATGGGAACTGCAGCTGCTCCCCACGTGGAATCTGGAGAAGGGTTCCAAACAGACTGAGAACTGCTGATGGAAATGCCAACAGTTCCCCCTGTGGAATCTGAGAATGGAACCAAAATCTGGGGTTTGGAAGTTTCTGTGGAATGGCCAGTAGGAGGCCCTGTGTGCACCACCAGCAATCTTGTGGAGCCTCGGCCTGGGGAGAGGGTTGGGCCAGCGGGCTGCAACACATGGAATGGCAGACGGACTCCGCATGCTGTGGAACTTTGCATTCCTACCAGCAGTTCCCACGCAGATCTTGGGGCAGGATTAAGGGCTCTGGTTTTCCACTAAAAAAGCCATTTAAATCAAGAGCTTGATGCAGAGGGCAGAACACAGAACCAAGAGAGAACTCACCTACGGCTCAGATGTGGTGGGAAAGATAGTGAACTCCCATGTGTTTGGGGCTACCATGCTCATGTTCCTCATTTTCCCTGAAGCCCTCAGAAGTCTCCTTCAGTCCTACCGCTGCCACCAAATCTGTTAAATAACAATAAGACAATGGAGTAAATGTAAATATCAAGTTGGCTTTATTCATGAATTGGGCAGCATCCCATCTAGAAAATAACGTAGAAAGGAACCTCAGTGAGCTGCAAAAAAAAAAAAAAAAAAAAAAAAAGGAAACGGTTTTAAAGGCAGAGAGGGAGAGGAAAAGAAAAATATTTACAAAAAAATGCATTGTTTTAGGCAAAGTGACCCTCCAAAGGGGAATAGAAGGGGTCTATCAGCAGATTATCTCCTGATGCTCACTGGAAGTTTCACGTTGCCTGCTTGGAGGTCACATTTCTGGCAGAAGCTGAAGTTGCACTGAGGCTAGGTATTAAGTCTGGGTGGGGTTTAGCATAAGTGACTCCATTCTGAGCTGCTGTCTCCTTTTTAGCAAGCGTTCATTGGCTAAATAAATGAACATTCCAGCAATTCATGTGAAAGGAAAGTACTGATGGTAAGTATTTGGAAAATATTTTCAAACTTGCCAATCATTGTTTCAAAACTAAAATAATAAGAAAGTGCTATTTTCTATACATCAGGCTAAAAACTCAGGGGAAAAGAATGAAAAGACTAAAAACCACTGGCCCAGCGTCTAGGGAACAGATGTGTTTGCCCTCAGGAGACTGGTGACTGAGGTCAGGTGCTGGTCAGGCTGGCCACAGCTTATGTCCTGCTGGCTGGTGGGTGACTTGAGGCAGCAGGCCTCTGACCCCCCATCCAGAAACTGGAGATCCCAGTAGCTACTTCCCAGGGCTGCTGGGGCCTGTGCGTCGTGAAGGGTATGCTTTGTATCCCCTGGAGCTCACGGTCACCTCAGTTGTCATTATAAATCAGCCCAACTAAATGGGAGAGGAATTTGGTAATCCATATCAAAAGCTATTTAAAAAGCTATAAAACTTCACTCCTAGAAGTGCAGGAACCATGTCAAAAGGAGAACATGTTCATTTTCAGACGTATTATAGCATCATTCTTACAATAGGAAGAAAGAGGAACTGAGAAGAAATTGGAAATGAAGTTACATGAAAAAAGAGGAAACAACTGTGAAAAATACATAACCATATATTCCTAACCCTAAGGAAGCTCTGCTTTTGTTTGATGTGGCCTGGACATTATAATCATCACCAGCTCAACAGTTACTTCGTTTCAGATTCTGTGCCAGACCCACTACGTTTATTATCAACTCTAGTCTTCCCAACAGTCCTATGAAGTACACACTGTTAAGACTTGTGATAACTGTGATTATATTAAGAAATAGGTATTTGGTCTTCATCCCCATTTCTTGCACAGGATTTACTAACCCCTTGGAATTTCCTCAGTGAGGGTTTTGTCTTTACCTTACTTATAAGGGTAAATTCAGATAAACTTTAAAATGAGGGATTTAGACTGCCTACAGGGAAGAATTTCCTGAATTAATGAACTGACTGTTCACACGGGTTTCCAGGGAGCCCTGAAGGAAGCTTTCATATTGCAAAATAAAGGTCTAGATCATTACCTTTCTCATTGTTTTATTAAATATTTGCTTGCTTGCTCTCTTTTTTGGCCTGGAGGCTAGAGGGCAAATTAATTTCTCATAATAGCATAAATGGGGAGATTGGTCTAAATGAAACATTTTGCTTTCACTTTAGCCAGTAGTAGGTCTCTTTGTCCACCAAATCGGCAGGTGTAAATTTAGAATGGTCGTGGTCATGGTCTTTAGGTCATCCTAAGAGCACTTAGTAATGTGGTGAGCGCTAAGCCTAGGGAATGTGGAGCAGCGACTCTTTCTCCCTTCGGACTGCTGAGGCTCATCCTCTCTTCTTCACATCTGTTGTGGAAACCAGAAGGAGACTCAGAAGTCAAACCTAAGTGATGGAAGGCAGAGCTTCTCAGTTGGAAAGGGTGTGCAGATCCCCACAGCGCCTTGCTGACTGGGCGTCCTGACATCTCCCGAGCTGCACTCAGAGTGGAGTAACACGGTCCAGGAAAATTCAGGCTCTGGTGTCGCACAGACTGGGGTTCACACAGGGATTTGGCAGAAGAACTCTGGTCAGGTGCAATTCAAATCCTTGTGAGCCTTAATTTCATCATCTGCAAAATGGAGAAAATACCAGCTCATGACATCAGCATATTGTCAAATGATATGTGAAAAGATATGTGACACTAGTAAATTCAATGCCCGTCACACCTTAGCACGTGATGAATGGAAGGTCCTGCATGATCTGTTTATACACAGGACGTGAATGGTGGTAACCGAAGCCTTGTTTGTAGTAGAGACATGTGTACAGAAGGGCACCTGTGTGTGCGCACATGTGCGCAAAGCGAGGGATGAGAAATCTCAGGGACACATGGGTGGCTCAGAGATTGAGCGTCTGCCTTCAGCTCAGGGTGTGATCCCAGGGTCCTGGGATCCAGTCCCACATTGGGCTCCCTGCATGGAGCCTGCTTCTCCCTCTGCCTGTGTCTCTGCTTATCTCTCTCTCTCTATCTCTCATAAATAAATAAATTAAAAAAAAAATCTCAGAGCCCATGAGTGTAGGCATTCTAGAAGCACCCCTCTTTACACAGGTGCACTTTGTCTTTAACATGTCTTTCAGATGCTTTGTTTTTCCGTTTTTTTAACTTCTTTTTCTAATTCTTACCAGACTTAGATAAAAAAAAGCATGTAGAGCTGAAGATGGACCAGGCTTTGCTGCTCATCCATAATGAACTACACGGAACAAACATGACTGTCTACTGGAATTCTGAACGTTGTTATCATGTAGGTATTACATTCAGGCTCACAATTTTGTTTGCTTTGGGGCTGTGTGAGATGGTCCTTAATGCTCTCATACCTGAAGTCCTTCACATGTTCACTTCAGTTTTATAGGTAAGGAATCAGATAGGCTGTAGAAGGAATCAGAAGACATATAATCAGGGAGCATGCCTAGCAGTGAGCCACATCAATCTCTTTCTTTTCCCCTACCCATCTTTTAAAAACTTACTTCTTGTTGATGAGCAAAAGCGACAGACCACATTTTATTTTACTTCTCTGCCTGCTGCGTAATCCCATTGCTGGACCAGAGGAGGAACGAGTGACACCTGGGTGTTCTCCAAGGGCAAAGGTACTGAGGACAATGGGAGGCTCTGGTTGAGGCATGGCACGTATTCTGGGGATCTGCCCTTCTGATAATAAAGGATTTATTTATTAAGTTTTTAATTTTAATTCCAGTACAGTTAGCATACAGTGTTATTATTAGTTTCAGGTGTACAGTGTGGTGATTTAATAATTCTATATGTTACTCAGGGCTCATTAAGTGTACTCTTAAAAAAAAAAAGTTTACTCTTAATCCCTATCACCTTTTCCTCCACCCCCATCCACCTCCCCTCTTATAACCAGCAGCGTGTTCTCTATAGTTAAGAGTCTGTTTCTTGGTTTGTCTCTCTCTCCTTCTTTTTTTTTTTCCTTTGCTTGCTTGCTGATAAAGGATTTGTTTGATCTTAAGGTGCAACACCTAGATCTTGTTGCTTTTTTTGTTTTTAAGATTTTATTTATTTATTCATGAGAGACACGGAGAGAGAGGCAAAGACACAGGCAGAGGAAGAAGCAGGCTCCCTGTGGGGAGCCCGATGTGGGACTCGATCCTAGGACCCTGGGATCACAACTGAGCCGAAGGCAGACACTCAATCACTGAGCCACCCAGGTGCCCCTAGACCTTGTTGCTTTTTAAGTACAAGGCTACTCTTCTGTGTAAAAGAAAATTTTCTCTATTTCCAAATTGAGCATTTAAATGTACTGCTTTCAGAGGAGGAATTTTTATTTATTTTATTTATTTAAAAAATTTTATTCCTTTAATTTTTTTTTAGTTAGTGGGGAGAGGGGCAGAGAGAGAATCTTAAGCTGATTATGGAGCCAGAGGCAGGGCTTGACCTCACAACCCTGAGATTATGACCCAAGCCTAAGTCAAGAGTCTGACGTCAAACTGCGCCACTTAGGTGCCCCCAGAGGAGGAATTTTAATGTATAGATTTCCTCCAGTGGGTTGTATCCCACTGTAAGTTGAAAATACTGTGAGATGAAAATGCATTTAATACACCTAACCTACTGAGCATCATAGCTTAGTCTAGCCTACCTTAAATGTGCTCAACATCTACACTAGCCTATGGCCTCTCAGTCATTAACCCTCAGAATTGCATGACCGACTGGGAGCTTTGGCTTACTGCTGCTGCCCACTGTCACGAAAGAGGATCCTACTGTGTATGTCAGCTCAGGAAAAGATGGAAATTCAAAATTCTAAGTATATTTCTACTGAATGCATATTCCTTCCCTACAGTCTAATCTGAAATGCATATCACTTTCATAGGGTCATAATGTTGAAAAACCATAAGCTGAATCCCTGTCAAGGACTCTTTGTATAGGGACCTGTTTACTGTAAATAGCTTTAAAAAGCAAACAAAGAATCCTCAGTATGGATACCAACTGAAGAGGTAACAATACATGGTCCCTCCTCTATTTGATTGAACCCATTGAGAGCTCTACAAAGTAACATGAAGCAAAGAAAATCTATAATGTTAAGAAGAATAGCAAAGACAAGATTTACCAGCCTATGAGAAGGACCTAAAAGAAACCTGAAAAAAAAAAAATCAACAATAGCTGAATTTCAAAGCTACAGGTAATTCAGAGAATGAACAAAATGTCTTCTAAAATGACAGTATGGCCTAAAATTTATAGAAAAACAAGTTGAGGGGGAAAAAAAAAAAGTACGTTGCCAGGATATTAGCCAGAGGGCAAGTAAAGCATCTTCAGAATTAAAAAAAGTAGAATCATTGGTACAAAACAGTGATGCTGGTGACAAATCAGAGAATGAAAAAACAGAAGAATTAGCTATATGTGACTAGTACAGGAAAAATATTGCTAATTCATTTTTTAATTTTTAAAAATTTAAAAAAGATTTTACTTATTTATTCATGAGAGAGGTAGAGACACAGGCAGAGTGAGAAGCAGTCTTCCTGCAGGGAGCTTGATGCAGGACTCGATCCCAAGACCCTGGGATCACAACCTGAGCCAAAGGCAGAAGCTCAACCACTGAGCCACCCAGGCTTCCCTATTGCTAATTTATTTAAAAGAGCATGTGGACGCCTGGGTGGCTCTGTTGGGTAAGTGTTGGACTCTTGATTTTGACTCAAGTCATGATCTCAAGGTCATGAAATTGAGCCCCACGTTGGGCTTCCCACGAACTTGAGGCATCTCCTTGAAATTCTTTCTCTCTACCCTTCCCTACTGCATGCATGTACTCTCTCTCTCTCAAATTAAATCTTTACAAAAAAGTAAAAGGGCATGGGGATAATTATGTTTTAGGAAAATGTTTGCACTTAAACATAGTTGTAGATGTCCCATAATTGCAGAAAAGACCTTAGCTGAAAATTGGAAAGACACTCAGAGCCTGTAAAGATTTAACAACCAGAAAATGCTATCAAGACATAACCTTTTAAAAATTCTGAACATTGGGACACCTGGGTGGCTTATCAGTTGAGCATCTGCCTTTGGCTCAGGGCATGATCCCTGGATTCCAGGATCAAGTCCCACATCGGGCTTCCTGCATGGAGCCTGCTTCTCCCTCTGCCTATGTCTCTGCCTCTCTCTCTGTGTCTCTCAAGAATAAATAAATAAAATCTTTTTTTAAAAAATTCTGAAATTATTGATATTTTTTAAACCTTTAAGCAAATATAGAGATAGACATTCAAGGGAATGCAAATTATAATAATTTATATTTGTAAACTAGATAATAAATACCTGGGAATGATGGATTTACAGGTGAAGGAAATCAGTTATCTGGTTGAGACTTTCTTTTCCTCTTTGCCTCTCTTCCCTTAAAGTAAAAGCACTTAAGAGACATACACATTGAAAAACAAATAAACATTGAATAAATGTGTACATTTCATAGCTCAAGGACAACCTATAATGTGTCAGCAGGTGCTTTTGAAAAGAGAACAAAAACTGGAGGAAGGTTAGTGTTGTAATGTTAACTATGAGTAATTAGTATAACTGATTAAATAAAAGTAAGATGTAAATGAGAAAAAAAGAAAAGAGGGATCCCTGGGTGGCGCAGCGGTTTGGCGCCTGCCTTTGGCCCAGGGTGCGATCCTGGAGACCCGGATCGAATCCCACGTCGGGCTCCCAGTGCATGGAGCCTGCTTCTCCCTCTGCCTATGTCTCTGCCCCTCTCTCTCTCTCTCTGTGACTATCATAAATAAATAAAAATTAAAAAAAAAAAGAAAAGAAAAAGAAATGAATTTTTAGTATCCTAAACAATATTCCTCAGGGGAACCTGGAGGCGGTGAGAAGGTTGGAGAAGCAGTGAATGGGAGACAGAAATCCTGGGCTTTAATTGCATTGAGGATATCCAAATGATGATCTGTTACTTTTGATTATTATTTTCAGACATAAATTAGAATAAACAAGGCCGTTTCTTTTTTTTAAGTAGACATGTTCTGAGTATAATAAATATAATAGTTAATGTTACTGTATCCTTAAAATATTAAAAAAGAGTATACAATATGGAAAATATAAATGACAAAAGATAGTAAAAGTAGAGGAAAGAATTCAGGGTGAGCAAGTCTAGACTAATGGCAACAAATACAGATGGATTAACTTGTATAAAAATAACTCATTTATATTAAAATATTGTGAATTTCGAAGTTCTTTTGGAAAAAGGGAAGTTATACATAAATACATTGACTAAAAAAAATACATTGACTAATAACAAAGACTAAAATATAAGAGTGTTGTATTTAAAAAGAGTACATCAAAAACAAAGACATGTGCACTGTACTTTCATGAGGTAGATGTGCAAATAAAGGGGGCCAGTCAGGCTTTAGCATTTGCATGAATGATAAAAGAAATGTTAATACTAAAATAGAAGCACACCAAATAAAAAGCCTTGGAATTTAGATGGGCCCCCTACAACACATGGAAAATAACAGTAGGGGGTGCCTGCGTGGTGCAGCCCTTTGAGCATCTGACTCTGGGTTTGGGCTCAGGTCCGGATCTGAGGGTCTGAGATCATGACCTGCATGGGGCTCGCTGCTTAGCTGGTGAGTCTGGTTATAAGAGTCTCTCTCCCTTTTCCTTTGCCCCTCCCACTTATGCTCTCTCAAATAAATTAATAAGGGTGACTGGGTGGCTCAGTTAAGTGGCCAGCTCTTGATTTTGGCTCAGGTCATGATCTCAGGGTTCTGAGATTGAGCCTCACATCGGGCTCCCTGCTCTGCTGGGGAGTCTGCTTGTAGATTGTCTCACTCCTCTCCTTCTGTCCCTCCCTGTGCATTCTCTCTCTCTCTCTCTTTCTCTCTCTCTGTGCCTAAAATAAATAAATCTTTAAAATAAATCTTTTTTAAAAAAATGGTACAAATTATAGAACAGAACTGTGGTGAGAATTAAGCATTCACTGTTATCAGACTGTGATAGGTCAAGCTCCTAGGGTTTAAGGATTAAACTGGTGAACTTCTGAGTCAGACCACAAAGTGGTAGAGTGGAGTAGTTTAGAGCATGGATTCTGCTGCCCGAGTGCCTGGTTTGAATCCTGCCTCTGTCACTTACTGACTGAAAATGAGAGAAAAATTAAAGTGAGTCAAGAATGATTTTGTTTGGTTTTCTTTTCCGAAGTGGGCTCCATGCCTAGTGTCGAGCCCAGTACAAGGGCTTGAACTCATGACCCTAAGATTAAGACCTGAGCTGAGATTGAGTTAAATACTTAACTGACTGAGCCGCCCAGGTGCCCTAAGAGATGATTTTTTTTTTTTTTAAGAGAGGGAGAGAGTGCGAGTGGAGAAGCAGCAGAGGGACAGAGGGAGAGAGAGAATCTTCAGCAGGCTCCACACCCAACACAGAGTCCAATTCAGGGCTGTCTGACAACCCTAAGATCATGACCGGAGCAGAAATCAAAAAGAGTTGAATGCTTAACTGACTGAGCCACCCAGGCACCCCAAGATATATTTTTTTAATATTTTATTTATTTATTCATGAGAGACACAGAGAGAGAAGCAGAGACACAGGCAGAAGGAGAAGCAGGCTCCATTCAGGGAGCTGGATGTGGGACTCAATCCTGGAACTTCAGGATCACACCCTGGGCTGAGGGCAGACACGGTGCTACCCAGGCCCTCAAGAGATGATTAAAAAAAAAATAAAAGTTGCACAATTGATGAATTGATTAATAAAATTTAATAAAATTAGAAATTAAGATATGCATAACCACTGTAATTAAAATAATTATGGTCAAATGAACAGTTTATAAGCTGATAAATTTGAAATTCAAAACTTGATTTCTAGGGTGCCTGGATGGTTTAGTTGGTTGAGCATCTGCCTTCTTGTCGGGTCATGATCATGGGTCCTGGGATTGAGCCCCATGTCAGGCTCCCTGCTCAGTGGGGTGCTTGCATCTCCCTTTCTCTCTGCCTGTAGCTCCCCCACTTGTGCTCTCTCTCTGTGTCAAATAAGGAAATAAAATCCTAAACAAAGCGCAGCCCCGGTGGTGCAGCAGTTTAGCGCTGCCTGCAGCCCAGGGTGTGATCCTGGAGATTCAGGATCGAGTCCCACATCGGGCTCCCTGTGTGGAGCCTGCTTCTCCCTCTGCCTGTGTCTCTGCCTCTTTCTGTATCTGTATATATCTCTCATGCATAAATAAATAAAATCTTTAAAAAAAAACTTAAAAAAAAGAAAAATTGATTTTCTTTAAAAATATGATATGAAGCTTGATTAAAGAAATTGAGAACATAAATAGATCACAATTAAGAAATCCAGAAAGTTATATAGTGAGTTTCTCCTCCTAGAAATATGTAATTTTTTCTATATTTTCAAATAATAAAAAATCATCAGTTTATATAAAGTAACCTATATATAAGCTTCCCTCCCACAAAAATGATGGCTTGATATCTGATTTATTCTGCAGTATAGATAGGGTGTTAATCTTAAAATCTAGCAAAGACAAGAAAAGACATTCAGGTCATACTTTTTAATCAATCTAGGTGCAACAATCTTAAATTCTATCAAGTAGAGTAAGTTAGCATATTGAAAGATTTATTTATGATGACTTATGTTTTTATCCTTGAGGAATCAATAGAGTTCATACATAAAGACGATGATGAAATTTTAGGGTGAAAATACAGGTTAAATGGAGAGATAGCCAATACATTCCGATATGAAGGCTAAACATAGAAAAAATGGTGGTATTTCTTAAATTAACACATACTTTTAACACAGTTACTTGTTAATATATCATTGGCTCCTTTATAGAATCTATGTAAGTCATTCCCACATTGATAGGAAAAATGAAATGAACAAGAGGATCAAAGGATGGCCCAAGAGAACAGGTAAAATGGAGACGTGCTGTACCAGATAAGATGTATTACCACGTCACAGCCACTTGTGTAGCTGAAAAGAGGAAGTAAGGCTAGTGGACCAAGTAAATATAAGAAAGAGAATCTAATTTACATGAGAATTTAACATAACATATTACAACTGAAACCATGGGGAAGGTATCTGGACTTATTATATATCATCTGTCAAAGACTCCAGGCAGATTCAAGTTAACCTCTCCACAAATGTAAAAAAATACTAAAAAAGATAATATATTTTTAAACTAATAAATAGAAGAAATGGCAACCCAGATTAGTATGACTGTACAAGGCATTAAAAACTTATAATTAAAAATTAGAGAATATAACACGATGAAAAGGAAAGCACTAGAATGGGGAGATATTTGAGTTAGTTAAAAGTTTAATATTGCGGTATGTGAAGATGTAGTTCTAAGATAATGTTCAAGGAGATTTTAAGAGATGGTTCATAGCATAAGAAATATAAACAAAAGAATATTGGTTTAATCTGATAATTTAAAATAATTACTCTTAAGATTACTCTTAAAGCTGTGATATCATAAATATTTAGCACATGAACAAAAAGAAGAATGATTTCTAAATCCTAGTAAGGCAAAGGAGAAATAAGTATACTGTAATTTTTCTTATTTGAATACTGTTTGGACATATAACAAGGACCATTAAAATGATTTTTTACAAAAGATTTATTTATTTGGTGAGGGAAGAGACGGAGGGAGAGAGAGCCCCAACAGGGCTCCATCCCACCACCCTGAGATCATGACCTGACCCAAAACCAAGAGTCAGATGCTTAACTGACTGTGCTCCCCAGGCACCCTGAAAATGGTAATTTTTTATCCAGTAACCTCATTTTTGGAAATTTATTTTAGGGAAGAATTTAAAGGAATAAGAATGTCATGTGTAGATCTTTGAAAACCAGATAATTTATGTAAATTAATATAAATTATATATACTATATCTTTAAAAACATAACTTACAGAAATTATACACAAAAAGATAAAAGCTTTGAAAGCAGCCTAAATACTAACAACTTTAGTATTTAATGAACTATAATGCAACCATTAAAAAATTTAAATATGCAGATTGTGGGGCATCATGGAAATTTACTTGTATGTGATATGTAAACAATGAAATGCAAAATAATATATGCTGTATTTGTTAATTATGTGAAAATCTTACCTATGAATAAAGATTGTACAGTTCCATGGGCACACATAGTTATTGGGCAAATTTTATCTAAGTTTTTGGAATTTAAGTTTTTTTATAAGTATGAAGGAAAAGTCATCTCAGGATTTCAGGTGGATACTCATGTGCACCAACAACCAGCGGCCTTTCAAATGCCTCTAAGAGTTGCTTGTGTTTCTGTTCTACAGTGCTTGTTTCAGATTCTGGTAAACGTTTCCTGGAGTGGGAAACCCGGGAAGCCTAGCATTGCCGCAGTGGCGTTGAGCACCCAGCATGGATCTCTCCTGCAACTCAATGACACCTTGGAAGAGAAAGAAATTTGTAGGTTTGTACCCGCTTTGATGTGACCTACTGACACCCAGGTTTTTTTCTTTTCTTTTTTTTTTTTTTTAAGATTTTATTCATTTGAGAGGGTGTCTTTCCCTCCTTTCTCTCTCTTTCTTTTTCTCTTTCTCTCTCTCTTTTAAGATTTATTTATTTATTTATTTTTGAGAGAGGGAGAGAGAACATATGAGCAGGAGGGGCAGAGGGAGAGGGAGAAGCAGACTCCCTGCTGACAGGGAGTCCCAATGTGGAGCTCCATCCCAGGACCCTGAGATCATGACCCAGCTGAAGGCAGACACTTAACAGACAACCACCCAGGCGCCCCTGACACCTGAATTTCCTGTCTATTTTTTTTTTCACTGCATGGGTTTTAGTTTTTCATTCCTTCAAAAATTTTCTTTTGTCTTTCCTGATCTGTACTCAGGAATGCCTGTCACTCTGCCTTGATGACATTGCAATAATCTAACTCATTTCCTAATCTAACCATTTTTCTTTATTTTACCACATCTTTGTAGGCTGGAATACAAATTTGGAGAATTTGGAAACTATTCACTCTTAGTAAAGCATGTCCATAATGGAGTCAATGAAATTGCTTGTGACATAGTTGTCAACAAGAATCCAATTGATAGTAATCTTCGTACGTATGTGCTCTTTGTTGCTTTTTAAAAATGTGTGTTTTAAGGATTTTAGTTTTTAAGTACCATTTGCAACACTTTGTGTACTTTAAAACCTGGATTATTGGTTATCTAATTTAGTTATGGTATATATATTGATTGTGTCGTTGGTGTATAAATAAGAAAATTATGTGATACATAAGAAAATTATATGATCAACATATCCTCATAGATGTTTAATTATGAAGCATAAATAAGCCAAAAAAATTTAATGCAATAGCAAGAAACTAGAAATAGGGCAAATGACTGTCAAGTGTCTTTCCTTGATTTAGGGATATGGGCACAGTATTCCCTGTATGTGTCTTACATGGACAGTCCCGAAATTCTTAGATTAAGGAGGGACTGTGCATTCTCTCATAACTCCACTGAAGAAAATCTGTCAATCCGAGCCCCCATTAGATAATATAATATATCCTTGTGGCATTACTAAGTCCTGTTCACAGTGAAGTTTTTGAAGACCATAGGGTCACGTCAGAAGAATGGAAGAGCCAACATGAAAGGGCCAACATGGGCCAGTTTAAGTATTGAAAAGAATAATGAACATGATTGATGGAAATACACTGAATATACAAAAATCAATGAGATCCTTATGAAACTAAAAGGAACAGAGCCCCTTCCCTAAGCAAAAATAGTACTTTGGCTGCCTTTGGAGGTAACAAGGACACCTGATGTTAACTGGAGTGACTTAGAATTGTCAATTGAAAGGAAGGATCTAAGCATTTTTCTTGCCTTTCCTGTTTTAATTGTATTTTAGGATAACTAAGTAGTCTGAGATGATGAGGGTAAATTCTTTAAGGCTAATCCTGGCTGGTATGTGTGGCAGAATAGTTCATAGCCCCCAGGGAAGGAGTGGGGATAGGTAGGAGTCAGAGTGGGTGGCCGGGGAGGGGCAGGCTGTCCCCTGCAGGACACGGGCATTGGGCGCGGGGCCAGTCGCCAGCAGGTGCTCTTGGTCAACGCTGGGGGAGGACACAGCACCGGCTGTGAAGCATTCTTGCCAAAAAAAGCTGACCTTTTTTAGTGAAATCTCTACAGTTAATTGCCCATGTGCCGAACATTTGGAGGATAGGATAAGTTAGGTGCCAACATGAGGAAGCACAGTTACTGCTCTAGAACAGGAGGCGTCCTAATAGACAACTTGTTTTAAACAAGTCAATGGCTGCTTACATCAGAATTGCCTAAAGAGACATGATGAACAAATACAAAATGTGAACCTTGTTTGTATCCTGATCTGAACAAGCTAACTACAAAAAACATTTTTGAGATAACTAGAAAAATTGGAATATGGACTCACTGTTAGCCAGGGGATTGTTAACGACCTTGTGATTATTTACATTTTTAAGCAACTTTTAATTTTGAAATAATTTTGGATAATTTTGAAATAAGTTTAGACTTACAAGAAAATTTTGAAATGATTTTAAATTTACAAGAAACATTGCAAGAAAAAGTTTCCATATACCCTACTGCCAGCTTCCCCTAAACCCTTAAACTATATAATCATAGTATAGCTACTCCTATATGATGACCAAAACCAGGATGTTAACGTTAGTACGGTGCTGTTAACTGATGTTTAGGCTTTCCGGATTTCTCCTATTGTCCCTTCTAAGGCCTGTTCTTTGGTCCAGGATGCAGTTCCAGAGATCCCATAGCCCATTTAGCTGTCAGGTTTCTGCAGCCTTTCTTTGTCTTTCATGACCTTGATACTTTTGAAGAGAACTGGCCAGTTACTTTATTATTTGCACTTGCTGTCTGTTTTCTCATGGCTAGGTAGAGGGCATGCATTTTTGGTAGATGACATAGAAGCCTTCTCAGTGGGCCACATCAGGGATTACACGATCTCAACACATCTTTTGTGAGGCCTGTGCTTTAGAGATACATAATGAAGGTGGACAGAGGAAATGACGTGATGTCTGGGATTTGCTTAAAAATGCTTCAGGCAAAAAAGCAGAGGCAGAGTAGCAATAGGTGAAGCAAGGGTGACACTATCTTGATAATTCTAGAATCTGGGTGATGACTATAAGTGGTTCATTATGCAAATCTCTGTTCTTTTGTGTATGTTTAGTATTTTTCATAATGAAAATTAACACTCCCCAATGGTGAGTGTTCTCAGTTGTTTATATGGAAGTTAGCAGACGGATATAGGCTTTTCCCTCACTTGTTTTGTTTGCATTTTTCATATACAGATTAAATGTAGTGACATGACAGCTGTGATGCTTATGACATTTTGGTGATATAGTGTTTTCTTTGATTTTTATAGCTGTGTGTATTGCGTTCCTTGTTGGTGTGGCGCTCATCATTGCAGTATCCCTTCTAAGGTTCTTGTTGAGGTAAGCAGATGTTAGGACACAATTGAGGTGAAGTAGAATATAGAAAAAATATATTCAGGAAGGCTAGTTTGACCCTTTCAATGACTGTTATTCTTTGATTAAATGAATACTTACTGCATCCACCATGCCCGGTCCAGCTTGCAGAATTAGGGATCCATATAGAATAAGAAATGGTCCCTGATTTCAGGGAAATGATAACCTAGTTCAGTGGATCTTTGCCGTCAATCCTCCCAAACCGCTGAAAACAGAGAAGATGCTTGAGATGTCATTATTTCCTCAAAGGATCTCACAGCCTGCTTTTGTGGTGAGCAGGAGTGGCCTAGGCTGATCTCAGGAGGCAGCTGCTGCACTGTACTCCTCTCCCTCCTTTCTGGCTCTGAGCCCTGAGGCCACCCATACAGTCCAGCTTTCCAGGTCCTGCCAGCCGGCCCGCCGGCAGCAGGGACAGAGGATGGGGTGTCAGACTTCTGGACCTCGGTGTGGACTTGCTTGTTCCTGGTTGGGACTGGCAGCTTGGCGAGGGGATTCCTTCTCCTCTGTCTGCCTGGTTAACAGCAAGTCTGGTGAGATTGAATGAGTAGATTGGAAAGAAAAAAAAAAGTCACAAAGATCCAGGCCTGGCAGATCACCTTTCAAAGGAAAGTTCTTTCATGTTTTTAAAGAAATAAAACTGAGAGATTTTCACATGCTCGGCCTGTTAGGGTTGGGAAGGATCACAAGATTTTGTGAGTGAGCCGCATCCAAACTGGAAGGAGTAAAACCTAGTTTTTAAGTCTGCCCCCTTGAGGAAACCTAGCAACTGTGGGGAGTTCTTGCACTCTGACTCCCTCCCTCTGTGCATCTTAAAAATACAAAGGTCTGTAAGGATAAAAAGGATTATTTCTTGTTCAGAAGCAGATTTTTAACCCAACTGTCTTTTAGGGGCAGAGTATAATTTCAGCAGAAGAGTTTGATTTTTTTTTTTGTGTATATTATTGGAGTTCGATTTGCCAACACCCAGTGCTCATCCTGTCAAGTGCCCCCCTCAGTGCCCGTCACCCAGTCACCCCAACCCCCCGCCCACCTCCCTTTCCACCACCCCTTGTTCATTTCTCAGAGTTTGGAGTCTCATGTTCTGTCACCCTCTCTGATATTTCCCACTCATTTTCTCTCATTTCCCCTATAATCTCTTTCACTATTTTTTTTAGAAGAGTTTGTTTGAATTAAGATATTACCTTGTCAATCTTTTGATAAGATGCAAATACTTCTCCAGTTTATTACAGTATTTTCATCTGGTCCTTTGTGAATGGATCTGTGGCATCACTTCTTAAAGTAATTCATAGCTGATCTCCAGCTCTTGCGAAGGGAGGAAGCCCCACCTTATCCACTGGGGAACTGAAACTCTTCATAACGTGTGGTTCTGCCTCTGTAGCCGTGGAGGCAGGATGCTGTGCTGGCACAGAAGGGGTCCCTTGTCCTTCGCCCCATCACTCTCCAGTGTGCCCCGATGTCCAGGGATGTTCATGTATGTCAGAACCAGGAAAGAACCTGAGGCAGGAGTAAGAATACAGGATCTCCCTCTTTTTGCCAGGAGGACAAGCATATACAAGAAAATTAAAATTCTTTTTAAAATTTAAATTAAAATTCATTTTATAAACTCTCATTTTTAAGTATCTTACTTTCTCCTTTTGCCCTGCCTTAGATCTTGATTTTAATATTTTTTATATGATGGTCATGTTACCAGTGCTGAATAAAGTAGAAATAGGATTTTTTAAAAAAAGTGATCTTTTATCTTTTGGAGCTACACACTACAGTGTTGATGGATTAAATGATACCATGTCTGGGATTCTTTAAAATAGTCTAACGCAGGCAAGGGGTAGTGAGTGCAAGTGTTGGATGAACTAAGACCCACCACACTTAAAGACACTTTAAAATGTTTAACTCTTTGACTCATAGAGAATATGAACTTCAAATTAATTTTCTTTCAATGCGGTATCCAGGCATTTTGAAAATTTTGCCAAAGAAAATAAATAAACTGAACTTTTTATTTATTTACAGTTTGGATGACTTTCATAATTGGATTTCTAAAGCAATAAATTCTCGGGAAACTGATCGCCTCATCAATTCTGTAAGTTATAAAAATGCATCGTGTGGTCTGGGTGGTTTTCTAGATTTGGAATTTATAATTCCCTATTTAATCTTTATTATCTGGTATAATTAATCTTATTGTGGAAGGCCAGGTTGGTCATGTGTTCTGTATCCTTAATAAAGAACAAGCAGCCTTGTCTTCAGTTCTGGTGAAGGACACTGTCCCCTTCTCTTTCCTGATGAGGTTGGAACTTTGGGTTGCAATATATGCATGGTGTAGAGACATTTTTCACTCTGCACTCAGCACTAGTTGAATTAATCCAGTTAAGTAGAGGATGTCAAGATAAAAACAAAAGAGTAAGAGTCATCAATATGAAATCTACAGCTCTATGGCTTCCTATGGTGATAAAACGTATTACTTGTGTTAATAAATTCATCATGGATATATGTATGTCCGTTTATGGACATATTTGCTTGTATCTTTGCACCAGATGCACTTATGGACTGCAAGCTCAGCAGATGGCACAAAAATCAAATAATGTGCAAAACTAAACCTTTGAGTGGGATCTTTACAAAAGCCAATTAAAGGACTGTTCAGGACAGCAATTTGTAGTTCCCTATTAATTTCTCCCCTAAACCCAGAAAACTGAAATTTACTCATTAGCATTATCAACTGGTATATTTCTCTCCCCATTTTCCTGAAGGAGCTGGGGTCTCCAGGCCGGGCAGGCTCCATTGGTGGCGAGGCTCAACAAGAAGCATGGCATCCACCCAGCGCACTACCACGCCTCCGCTCTATAGACACATTTAGGGGGTATGTGTGGCTCTCTTGGTTCATTGAGGGCACAGGTAGTCTAGGTTTACATGTGTACACATGAACACGCTTTTAACTTAAGGAATTTTACATAGCTTTACTTTTAGTGTAGGCAGGACTTCTTTCTGTAAAAATAAATCAATGGCCTCTCCTTACTCGAAAACTGTCACAATAGTAGATATAAAGTTGTTAGAGAGGAGTCAAGGGATGAGTTCAGAACCAGTTTCCACTGGTGTGTAGATCCCACTGAGCTGAGGTCATGTGGGCAGACAGCAGCTTGCGGGGCCTCCATGTCCATCCGCACCCCTGTACTGTCAGTAGTTTGACAGATGAAGCGCCAGTGTGGGCCAGCCCTGGCCCTTCCCCACCAGAGCCCTCTAGGAAGCAGTTGCAGAGTCCTACGAGTTGTTATTTTAGAGTTCAGGTGGAAGACAGGGCCAGGACCCAACTCTGAAAATAAAGTATAAAACCACAGAGATGAAAATAAATGTCTAGGTGTTGGGCCTTCCATTTTTGCCCTCAGCGGGGCTTTTAAACTCCAGTGACAATTACAATTCTGTACCAGCCTCCCCAGAAGCCAAGGGCTCCTGGGGTGCGTATTTGAAGCCAGACAAGAATAATAACCATCGTTAATGATTTTTGAATTCTCACCCTGTGGAAGGCACTGTTCTCACTTGTAAGTTTATTCAGTCTCTTCATAATCCTATGAGGCATATACTTTTAATTTGCCTGTTGTACAGATGAAGAGACTGGGCCGCAGAGTAACTAGCCTGAGGTCACTCTGGGACAAAGTGGGATGGACAGCTGGGATTTGATGACAGGCCGTTGGGCTCCAGAGTCCCTACGGGTAATTGCAGTGACACACTAAAGTCTTCATTCTTCAGTATCCTGCAGAATTAGTGTCAAACAGTAGCATATTCAGTCTCTTTCATCGTATTTCTCTTTCTCCCCCCCCCTTTTTTTTCCCAAGAAACAGAGGTGGGTAGGGATGGCAGGAGAGAGTCTTAGGCAGGCTCCATGCTGCCAATGGAGCCCCATGTGGGGCTCGATCCCACGACCCTGAGATCATGACCTGAGCCGAAATCAAGAGTCATATGCATAACTGACTGAGCCACCCAGACACCCCATTCCTTTCTTTTTGATTCTCATTGCCACTTTTGGAGATTTGATGCTTGTAGGTAGAAAGGAACTAACATTTACCAAGTGCCTGAAGTGTGCCCAGGGCTGGTTGGGCACAATGATAGATAATCTGTTCCTCAGTGGTCCCAGGGGTCTCCGTGGGTGTTTCTGATTGTTTTACAGAGAAGCACACTGAGGTCACTGATGAGAGTTCTTCCCTAATAGGATCTGAGGGTCCATGATATGAGCCCTCAGCTCTTATGAATTTGTGCCTTCTACTCTAGTTATAAAGAACTATAACCCAAGACATCTAAGTAATTAGCACAGAACTGAGTGATGGGAAGTGTTTTGCTTTGTTTTCAAGTTAAACAGTTTATGTCAGTGTAAATTTCTCTTAATAAATCATGTTAGAGGAGCCCCTGGGTGGCTCTGTTGGGTGAATGTCTGACTCTTGATCTCCGCTCAAGTCTTGATCTCTGGGTGGTGAGTTCAAGCCCTACATGGGGCTCCTCATTGGGTTGGGGGGCCTACTTAAACAAAAAGAAATCATCTTGGAAATGTTGGCAACAGCAGGGCTTTGTGTAGGGCCCTGATTGTAGTGATTAGGGACGATCGTTTCCTGCTTTGTAAGTGACTGCTCTTGTGAGTGTAAGTGGGCCATTCCTCATCACATGTGCAAGTCCTGGAAGTGTGCTCTTTGCTACTTTACAGGCTAGCGCTCATCCTCATGGTCTTCGTAAATTATGGAGGAGGAAAATATTGGTACTTCAAACACTCAAGTTGGAATGGTAAGAGGTTTCCTAAAAACAGTATGGCTTGTGTAGGACCCCTCAGAGAAGTGTGGACAGGAGAGCCTCTCAGCATCCCCTCAGGAGCTCAGAGATGAGGCCCTCTGGCCTCCTTGGAGCACTGAGTTCCTGTCCCCACAGAATGACTTCTACTAACTCTTTTGCTATGTTCTTGTTTTCATGTGCTGTGGCCTTGTAATGCTTCACTGTGATAACACATAGTAGATGCCCAGGTCTCTGCTGTGGGCCTGTGGGACTCTGCAGAAGCTGTTAGGAATTTAGTTATAAGTGACTCTTGCCGTATTCTAGATATGCCTTTTATTACAGCCACTTGGGGCTTCTGCCTTCTGAGACTCATGGTCCTCCTTGGGGTGCCACTGAGCTCAGGTTGGTCTGAGGGGTGCTGAATCGTGGCCGTGAATCTGGCTCAGTAGTTGGTATAGGAATGGGGTTTGAATCATGCTGCTTGAAGACAACAGACTTGTCCACAGACTTCTACTTTGGCTCTCCCGTGCCCAGTTACATTCTTAGGAAAGGCCCCGGGCCTACCGACTGGTTGCAGAGTCCCCAGAGAGTGTCTGTGTGTATTACTTCAGAGTTTTCCCGAGAACTCTCTGTGTGAGTTAACTTTCCATATATATCAGTATATAATGGAGCCATTCTAGATTTAGGAAGTGTTTGTATTCTAGAGTCGTTTACCTGACTCTTGTGTCTGTGTTATTCTCCAGGACTGACTGTGGCTGACCTTGTATTCCCATGGTGAGTTGCACTCTACCACCAGTATTGCCCTACAATCATCCATGTTTTTTTTTTTTTAGCTGCTGCTGGAGCCTTTCTCCAAGACCATCCTTGACTTCTGAGCCACAGGCCTGTGTTGCTGACAGGTCTCTGGCATTATGAGCTCCTTCTAAAAATTGTGATACTGCATAGTTCTTATACTTGGTATGGGACTTATCTAAGACCTGAATATAAAAGATAAGTCCACAGAGAACGTTTTGTTCATTTGTAGATATGGGATATAAGGTTCTGGGATCTTGTAGGAAATCATAAATTCGGAATATGTAGTTAAATCCCACTAATGCTGAAAATAAGTATAAAAGTCATTTCCTAAAAGAAATGTAGTATATTGGCATCAGGAAATTCCGATAAGTATGTAACAAGGTAATACACTAAAATTTAATGTAACAGAGGAGCAAACCACTCTGTCTCTGATCATCTGTGGGTTGTTCACCTTGTTACAGGACCCCAACTTCCTCTACAGTGTGGACGTTTTGTCTTTGCTGATGATGTGTTGAGTGACTTTGTCCCATCTTCAGGAGGTAGCATTAAGCTGTTGGGTATCATCCTTGCGCAGGGGCCATGCTAATCTTCTCTGTATCATTCCAGTTTTAGTATATGTACTGCTGAAGCGAGCACAGCAGTAGCTATAGGTTTACTTCCCTGGTCCCTTGTGTTTCATCACTAGTATGAACTCAGGGTTTCTTGCAGGAGAGCTGGGGTTCTTTTTTGAGATGGTTTGGGTAGGAGGAAGTTTTATATGACTGAAGACCTAGTAATTATGTATGTACATTCTTTTTGAAAAAAATGATTTTATTTATTTGACAGAACACAAGCAGAATGAGTGGCAGGCAGAGGGAGAAGCAGGCTCCCCACAGAGCAGGGAGCCCCACGTCGGGCTCAATCCCAGGACCCTAGGATTATGACCTGAGCCAAAGGCAGATGCTTAACTAACTGAGCCAGCTAGGCATCCCATTTATGTACATTCTCTAGGAGGTTCCCTACAGGAAATGCGTTCCCGTTTTTGTTACTGGACACTTTTATCCAATTAGATGACCCCAAGAAAGGAAGCCAGGGGACACCAAGTAATGCAGCAAGAGCAAACTCTCATCTCTGATAACCTCACGCTCAATAACTGGAAAGATTGCTATTCTGACTTTTTTTTAAGAGTTAATTTAGTGTAGTAAAAGCAAAGGAAAGAGGTGTGTGGTTCAGACAAAATTAGAAAAAGAAATAAAGCTTTCATTTTTCTTTCTGGAGAAAGAGTGAATTTAGAAATGATTGACATCTGTTTGTTTCTCAAGGACTTTGAGGACGTGCTCATGAATGTCCTGTTGTTTTGATTGTAGCATCTTTATCATTGTTTCACTTTGATAATGAATGGGGAGACTTGTCCTTGGAAATTTCCCTCAGCCCTGAAGAATTTTCCTTCTAGGATGGTACTTGAAGTTGCACAAACGTAGAGTCCACCAGCGCTACATTCTGATTCTTCCTCCGGTGTTATTTCACTAATTGGCTATATTAGAAAATCATGTGTTGCTTCTTTCATGTAGTAGATTATAAAATATCGATGATACACAGACGAAACGCCACCCTAGAAATGGCCACCTCTTAATAGCTGTCCTTTTTTTAGGTTTGTATTTATTATGGGATCTTCGATTTTTCTGTCGATGACTTCCATGCTGCAGCGAGGATGTTCAAAATTCAGATTGCTGGGGAAAATTGCATGGAGGAGTTTCCTGTTATTCTGTATAGGCGTGGTCATTGTGAATCCCAATTATTGCCTTGGCCCCTGTGAGTATTTTTTCCCCTCTGTGAGTGTATATTCCGGTTGAAATATGGAAGCTACATGTCATAATTTAAAAGAAATATAATGTCTCCATCACAGGTGCCTGCAAAAAGAACAGATATTAGGAAAGCATATACATGTTTGTATAACTTGGGGCATTATTACTACTATCTTGGGACTTCAGACCTGGGAGGGGCTTCTAAGACCACTCAGACCCTCCTGCTGTTCAAAGGAAGACTGAGTCCTGGAGAGATGAAGTGCTTTCTGTGGCTCTTCTAAGTGTAAGGGACAGAGAAGGGCCAGATCAGGTCACCTGGTTCTCAGCCCTGCCCCCTGCCACTTTGTATTCATCCACTTGCATAATAAGGTGATTGTATGATAGTTCAGGAATCAATCCACCTTTGTCAGCACCTGTATGCCCACTGGCTTGCGGGCAAGGAGTTATCTTCATTGTTGTTTTTGTGGTGTGAGCAGGACAGGGAGGCCAAGGGAAGGACACAAACCCGTGCCTGGGACCTGCATTGGAGTCGAGGAAGGCGGTAGTTGCTGTACTTGAGGGGCTTCCAGTGTCATTAACAAAACAGGACACAATTATCTGGACAAGAGCCACAGGGTTCCCTCAGACAAGCTGACTGAGAGTCAGCATCAGGAGGAGGGACAGGTCACCTTCCAGATGGCATCAGGAGGAAAGGTGTCACATAGGGTTGATTGATGGATCTCCAAAAAGTGGGCCTCTACTCCCAGGAGAATACACCATAGGATTCATCACATGGTCACACTCTTCCAGGGGTGGTCATGCAGCCTGTAGGACTGGGAGAGTCCGTTGGTGGCCTGTGCTAGCTCTGCAGGTTGGTGGTGGATTGAGAGCTGATTGAAACTGTACCCAGAAAGACAAAGGGCTGGGCGGGAGCCTCAGGGCCCAGGCAGCCCTTGCTTTGCCTCACACCCAGGGGACCCGTGTTCTTATCTCTGTGTCCCAGGCCAATTACTGTTGCGGGTTTGAGGCAAGTCCTATATGTGTCTCTATCTCCAAGAGCAGAGAAAGCCTACTTAAGGGCAGGAGAGGTTTGTTCCCACACCCTTCCCCCACCGAGAGAACAGTAACGTTGTCTTGGGCAGGAGGAGGGATGCTGGCTAACGCTTCACCTAACCTGTGCCTTCTGCAGTGTCTTGGGATAAGGTGCGGATCCCTGGTGTGCTCCAGAGGCTGGGGGTCACCTACTTTGTGGTTGCTGTGTTAGAGCTCATCTTTGCCAAACCTGTGCCCGAAAGTTGTGCCTCGGTGAGAAATCCTGCTCTTAAACACGGGAGTGGGGGAGGTGGGGAGGGGGGTCACTGTATGTTGTTTTTTTTAAAAAAGATTTTATTTATTTATTCGTGAGAGAAAGAGAGAGGCAGAGACACAGGCAGAGGGAGAAGCAGGCTTCATGCAGGGAGCCCGATGTGGGACTCAATCCCAGAACTCCAGGATCATAACCTCAGCCAAAGGCAAATGCTCAACCACTGAGCCCCCTTGGTGCCCTGACTCTGGGTTTTCTTGAAGTGAAGTGAGACTAGACCTGAACGTGGGCTTGGTCAGTCACATGAGACCCAAGGTCTGTGGAGGCTCGTCCAGGGCCTCCACAATGGAGTGAGGGGGCTGGGTGGGACACCAAGCACTAGGTGGGTTCTACTCCTTCTTTCAATCAGGACAGCTCCAAAATATAAATTTTGTTTTCCTTTCTTAAAAATGTATTTTTAAAATTGCCTTTTCAACGACAGCTTTATAGAGATGTATTTCACATACCATAAAACTCACAAGCTGGAAGCCTGCCATTCAGTGATAGTTTATTCACAGAGTTGTGCAGTCATCACCACTACCTAACTCTAGAACATTTTCGTCACCCCACAGGAGACCCTATACTCCTCACCAGCCACTTACTATTGCCCATTAACCCCCAGCACCAGGCAACCCCCTCATCTACTTCTATCTCTGTAGATTTCCCTGTTTGGGACATTTCATATAAATGGAATGATACAGTATGTGTCCTTTTTTCTTAGTTTCTTTCACTTAGCATATTTTTCAAGGTTCATCTGTGTTGTGCCATGTATTGGTGCTTCATCCCTTTTTACTGCTGAATAATATACTCCATTTTATGACTGCCATTTTTTTTGATACATTCATCAGTTGATGGGCATTTGACTTATTTCCATTCTTTGGGTGGTATGAATAAAGATTCTGTGTATATTTGTACACAAGTTTTTGTGTGAACATCTATTTTTAATTCCCGTGGGTATCAGAGTATAATTGTCCAGTAATTTCTTTTTAACTAATGTTTTACTATGATATTTCATGGAGAGGGGCAGCTAGACCTCATAATACATACAAAACAAAACAAGCATCTGTTTTTGTATTAGTATCATAAATCACCAGGAATTTCCCAAATACATTTACTGCCTATTTTTTCTTCTTCTGCTCACATGCAGTTTGTACATGTTTTTTTTTTTTGTTTTTTTTTTTTTTAATAACCTCACTCAGGAGAGAAGATTCTTTTCCCTTCGAGACATCATCCTCAGCTGGCCCCAGTGGCTCTTCATTCTGCTGCTGGAAAGCATCTGGCTGGGCTTGACATTCTTCTTGCCTGTTCCTGGATGTCCGACGTAAGTGAGCCCATGTAGGTAATCCATATTTGCCAAGTCAGAGCTTCTGGGGTGATAGCTGGCAAGTTTCCTGAGTGAGAGGAATTCTCTTTCGTTTTGTCTTCTCCTTGGAGGCATAGTGTGTATTGGGAGAGGAGCTTGCTTTACATCCAGAGGAATGTCTCCGTGAGGCTTTTTCAGGGTCTGTGTGCAGGGCATTTGGGCTGCCCACCTTCACATGTGGGGAGCAGTTAAGTCAAAAGGGCATCGGTGAAGAGTGCATAGCACCCCGGTGTCTCCGTGTGTGAGACACCTTGTTGGGCTGCAGCAATTGCTAGTGTAACCCTTAGTCCCACTGAAGTCTTATGAAGTATGTATTTTCACTTTTCCAGTGGTTATCTTGGCCCTGGCGGCATTGGAGATTTGGGGAAGTATCCAAATTGCACCGGAGGAGCTGCTGGCTACATTGACCGCCTGCTGCTGGGAGATGACCACATTTACCAGCATCCTTCTTCGGCCGTGAGTGAGCCTAGCTTGTACTTACAGCAGGGCACTTGGGAGCTCTGACGTGAAGGAAAACAGAAGGGGCTGGCTAACTAGAAACTCTGTCCATTTAACAAATTATGACAAGAACTAGTTTTTTTTTGAGAAGTTGGCTGATTTAGGAAATCTAATGTTTAGTATGGGGCTGTGTGTATCCATTACTCTGAATTTGAAAGTGCAGATGCACGGAATCAAGCTGTGGCAGCATGCTGTCCTCTGGCTCAGGTCAGACTTCCTGGCAGCAAACTCTGAGGCTGAGACTCGTGTGCAGGAAGCTTATCCGGCCGTCCTTTGGGGATCAGCAGATGCTGATGCTGGGGATCCAAGGAAGCAGCAACAGGCAGAAGGAGTAGTTGGACTGCTTGGTAGTCACACAGGGCCTCACCTAATCCCCTGGGGGGCTGGACTGGTGTGTTGGAGTGAGGGGGTTGACCATTGGATGCAGGCTACCCCCAGCAGGGAAGTGTGACTCCTTCAGTCAAGGACCCATCCAGTAAAGGGACTTGGCTGAGAGCTTCTGGCCATTGGTGCTTCTACCTGTTTGGGGGATGAAGGCTTTAGTCTGGAGGGGGGGGGGCAATATCTGGGTGTTGTGCTGTGGCATCCACTATGCTCTGTGTTTCCCAATTTCTGCAGTTTCGACAATCACATTTGTTTTGTAATTAGATAACAACAGATAGAACTTTACATGTGATTCACCATAAAAGAAGTTAGGAAGGGGCATCTTTCTGATGTTACAATAGGGTTGACCAGAGGGAATAAACCTGACAATTATGACGCTATTATGCGCAGTGTTGGAAGCAGTCAGGGATGCATCCTGTGCCCAGGTCCCCAAGGTGGAAGTGGCTGCTCTGGACCATGGCTCATCTCTGGGCTCTGGGCTCCCTTCTGCGATCACACCCCCACACTTTGTTGATCAGAAGTATTCTGTCTGTAATCCCAGCAAGTTGGCTGTGAATTTCTGTGGCAAAAACAAAACACATTGAATTCTGGAGTGTATTCAGATTTGTATTTGATCTCTGAAGTTTGTGTGCATTTCACGGTCAGTGAGTCTTGCCGCTTTTTTCTGTTTTGTTTAGGTGCTTTATCACACCAAGGTGCCCTACGATCCAGAGGGAATTTTAGGGACCATCAGCTCCATTGTGATGGCATTTTTAGGAATTCAGGTATTCGTTCATTTCATTAGGGTACATTTTTCTGACAGTTCGTGATTATTGATTCAACACTAATTCAAAAACTATTTCATTAAAACAAGTAACTGGAAACATATCTTCTATGGTCTAATAAGTTCTGTTTATATGTGACAGATTGTCAAAACTAGAAGTCGTTAAAATGCAGCCCAGTGAAATAATTCCTCTATATAAGGTATAATTCCTGTGTTCCCCCCACCCCCCCATCATTTATATTTTATCTTAGCAGCGGAGGCACAGACTTTCTGGGTAGAAAGTCTCCCTCAGAAGTGTGCAGAATGTTTGGTGTTGGCAGTGTGGGGAAGCCCCTGTGTCACGTCACATTTTGTGTACACTCTGTATGGTTTCAGCTTACGCATGTTTTATGCCAGAACCAATACAGGTTGTTCTTGGTTTATCTCACATGCAAAGTTTGTTAAAATTCTGAACAGTCTAGATTTTTTCCCCCTTAAATTCTCCTTATTAGTGTTTGAAACTATTATTTGAGCAGAGAGAGCTAACTGGGGGAGGGCAAAGCATGTAAAGCAGCACTAATGGGATGCTCTGCGGTGATGAAAATATTCGTGTCCATATGGCTGTTGAGTACTTGAAATGTGGCTGGTATCACTGAAGAACTGAATTTTGAATTTCATTTCATTTTAATTAATTCAAATTTAATTTCAAATAGTCTCCTGTGGCTACTGGCTGCCATATTGGATAGTGCAGGTCTTCATGTTTTGATGATTTCATGTTTAGCAATACTGCTCTGTACTCACCTCTGTAGCACGTTATAGTTCACTGTGGGTGCTTTCACATATGTTCATTTAACCCCTGCATCTGCAGGGGTGAATCTGCACCTCAGGAGCAGCCTAGGGTAGGGTTAAGAGCGTGGACCTGGTGCCAAGTGGGTTTGAACGCTGCCCTACCACTCTCTAGCCAGGTAGACTCAGGCATGTTCACCTTTTGTGCTCCAGCAGCACCTACTTCATGAAGGTGTTGAAAGGACTGAGGAAATTAATTCATGTAAAATTCTAAGAACTGGCATTCATGAATTTTAACTTTAATTACAAATTATTATGAACATTTTCTTATCCCTTGCTATTTTCAGAAATCAAGTCCTAATTTCAGGGGATATTTTGTCAAAGTCCAGACTGTACTGTTTCTAAAACATTTCTCTGCCTTTATGCCCACCTGCCTCTGTCCCTCTGTACTGCAGGCCAGTCTGAGCTGGTTCCTTGTTACTGGTTTTTGGGTTGGGGGAGACAGGACTTTGATCAGCTCCCCATCACATACGGGAGAAAAAAGCCCTGCCTCCCCAATGAGACTCGCAAGCCTACCTGCCTTCCACCTTCCTGCAACTTCCCAGCCCCCTGGCCTTTCTCTGTTACCCACAGTGGCTCAGGGCCGCAGGTTCTTTCACTGTTTGATGAGCTCCTGTGCGGCTGTTCCGGCCCACACGCACTTCCTGCTCTGCACATGTAGCCTCTGCTGGACAGCATTTCATCTCTGGCATCTCTCTCATCCTCCCGACAGTGATCCCTCCCCCTGCAGAGCCTTGGTGCCCAGTCAAGGACAGAGTGACATCCCTTCCTCTTCTCTGTGATCCCCACTGCTAGCAGCGTGCCGGGCAGATGAGTCTGTGTGTTGAGTGATTAGGACGCTGGATGAACATGAAACACGATGGTATCTCAAGGAGTTTGCTAGGTCACCTGTATTTTCTTCTCCAGGCAGGAAAAATACTCTTGTATTACAAGGATCAGACCAAAGATATTCTGATCAGATTCACTGCCTGGTGCTGTTTTCTGGTAAGTAGCTGACATTGCTCACTACAGTTCTGTCCATACATGTTTCAAAGAACTGGAATGTTCAGCCCTGGAGAGCAGCTGTCCCCACATCACAGGAGTTGCATTCTTCTCTAGAACAGCAGAGAGGAACACATCTTTACACCTGAACTCTCAGGTTTACTTTCTTAGACAAATGCATTTATAAATGAGTGTTTGCTGTGGAACAGCCAACAGGAGTCTCGTGAAGAAATAGTGTGGGTCCCGGTCAGAGCCAGGCCGGGAAGAGCAGGGCAGCGGCTGCCAGAGGTCGGCTCCCAGGTCTCCAGGTGACGGAGAGTTGAAAGTCGGGTTGTTCATTTTATCTCTCATGCTTCCTTTTATAATTTAGTTATTAGTTTACCGTCAACTCAGAACAATGCTCTAGAGATTTTGGTTTTGAGAATATTTTTAGCTATGCATCCTGAAAATAGTTTTCTAGTTAAAAGAATAAAATAGAAGACATAATTTGCAACCCTTACTAAGTAATGAAGTAACATATTTTCCAGTTTTGAAACACAGTCTTTTTTTGAGATAACATAAAAAAACTAACACCTTTCTCCCCTATTGTAGGGGCTTATTTCTGTTGCTTTGACGAAAATTTCTGAAAATGAAGGCTTTATTCCAATAAACAAAAATCTGTGGTAGGTATAGAAAACAATGTCATTTTAATGCTGGGCTGATCTTGCTGATGCTGGATGTGCTCCACAGGAGCCCTGAAACACCTCATTTGCCTTGTAGGTCCATTTCATATGTCACTACACTGAGCTCCTTTGCCTTCTTCATCCTGCTTATCCTGTACCCCATTGTGGATGTGAAAGGACTGTGGACGGGAACCCCATTCTTCTACCCAGGTAAACCTCTAAGCCTGGAGTCGATGGTGGTGACCAAGTGGGCCAGCCCAGAGACAGCTGAGCAGGCCTAGTACTGCGACCTCGGGCCATGCCCTGGTGGCAGGTTTCTAAGACGCCGGCTGAGGGAGAAACCAGCTGGAATCGCGCTGTCCCAGGCCATGTGCAGGACATGCCTGGCCTCTTCCAAAACAGTGCACCCATTTTATCTGTTTAGATTGTGAGGTCACAACCAAGCTCTACTTTTTTCTTTAGGCAATCTTGAGTTGTGGAGCATCAGAAACGATCCAGGGCCTGGTATCTAGCCAGATGGGGCCATGTCTTCTTTCTGAATATAAATGTCTGAATATAAATGTATAAACTGCCTTATAGATTATGTATAAGAAATATCAAGAGACAGTACCAAGAGATCAGTGGAATGGTTTCAGCACAATTCTACCCAAAGACTGAGAGATAGACCTAATCCCTGGTCTTTTTTTTTAAGATTTATGTATTTATTTTAGAGAAGGAAAGAGCATATGTGCACAGGGTTGGGAGGGGCAGAGGGAGAGGGAGAGAGTCTCAAGTAGAGTCCGTGCTGAGCGCAGATCCTGCCGCGGGGCTCAGTCCTGGGACCCCGAGATCATGACCTTGGTTGAAACCAAGAGTCAAACACTTATCCGACTGAGCCACCCCGGTGCCCCAGATCTTATCATTTCTATGATTCACTTCAACCCTACGATTCTAATGACAGTTACATTTTCTGACCTCAAGTTTTCAATGTAAAAAATATAAGTTCATGGTTTTGGCAACTCTTGCAGATTTAGTATTCAAGAATTACATTGTTACAGATATTATCTAATTTTTGTTCTAGCTTGCACTTAAGTATTTAAGATATGCATTACTTATTTTTGGCAGTAGCCAATAATATAAATGTGTGCTTTATTTTTTTTTCATTGAACTAAAATCAAATTTCACGAACTAAATAGATGATCAGATGTGACTCAGGAAAATATTATTTTCTGTATCTCTCCTCCAGGAATGAATTCCATTCTGGTGTATGTTGGCCACGAGGTGTTTGAGAACTATTTCCCCTTTCAGTGGAAGCTGGAGGACAACCAGTCCCACAAGGAGCATCTAACTCAGAACATAGTTGCCACTGCTCTTTGGGTGCTCATTGCCTACATTCTCTATAAAAAGAAGGTTTTTTGGAAAATCTGACAGCTCCAACTGGGTCTGGGGGGAGTATGGAAGCAGCCTTTATTAAAGGGAACCATTACTTATAAAACTGCTGGGATGTGTCTTTCCAGATGATTGGGGAAGATGCTGATGTGCTCTGGCTGGTTTACTGGGACATGGCTGTTCATCAGAACTCTGTATATTTGAGACTTGTATGTTTGGAATATAATTGTCTTTTTTCTCCATCTTCTATGTAAATGGATGTATTTAGAACTTCATTTTAAGGATTTCTCATTTAACTTTTCAAAAGGAAATTGCCAGGGTCATTTTGCTTCTGTGACGGATAAAACAAAGTCTACTTTTTATTGATGTTTTCCTGCAGTCGTGCACACGTGCCAGCCAGGAACACCATCATTTCTATTGCGGCTGACTATGAGACTTATGAACGTGATGTGTAGTACTACAGCCCCATATTTTTTGGTTAAGTGCAGTTTAATACTTCAAGAAAAAGTGATTTCCTTTTCAGATCTGCAGGGCGTTGGTGGGTCCAGAAAATGCCTTTCTAGGAGGTGTTCCCTCCTTTTTCCTCGCTTGAAAAAGACAGTAAAATACAGGTGTGCTGTTCCCAGCCACTCCTGCTCATAGTTGTGATACTTACATACCTATTTGCTTCTCTGTCCACCCGCTTGTCTGTTGTTCTCACTGTGCGCTGGCATGCTGGATGGCCGCTGGCACCCAGGGCTGTCCTGTGGCAGAGAGGAAAGCACACTGTCCTCTCTGTGGTGCCAGCTCTGCCATTCTGGCCATGTGAGATGCCAGCAGGTCCCTTGGCCTCCCTGGGCTTTGGTTCCCTCATCTGGGAAGTGTGGGAGACCGTGATGTTCCTTCCAGCTCTTAGGCTCCCTGAAGTGGGATACGTGAGTGACTTTTCTGAAATCCTTAGGAAGATAATTTTATTACAGAAAACTCTTCAGGATAAATGATAACGAAAAGGTTAAAAAAAAACTCTCATTGGAGTTAAATCTTTTTAGAACGACCCTCCACAGTGGAGGCGCCTTTCCTGTGTGGGATCCCAAAACCGAAGAGTTTCCTAGGAATGAAGTCAGGAGAACACGCGAGGAGAAACTGCACTTTTCATATGATGCATCATCATGCTTACGAATTTTCTGTGAGAATTCCGTGCGGAAGGAAGTCGCTCTCCACCCTCCTGTGGTGGTGCACGGCCACCTCTGCAATGCTGCTGCTGTCACCACAGCACGGACGAGCTGGCCTGCGCCTGCTCCGAACTGCCCGCCGGACCCCTGCCTTCGCGCCCTCCTTCCCTGGTCAGACCCTCCCCGTGGGGCTGCCCAGGCCCGTGAAGGCCTCCTGTGCCTCCAGCTGCCCGCCAGGTGCTGCCCTGGCAGGGCCCACACCTTGGCTTCCGACTCTGCCTGGGGCCTCCTGGTTTAATATTCTCCTGTGTACACCTGACCTTTGGAGCCCCTGCTTCTGAGGCACCTTCTTTGACCTCACGTTCTCCTCCCAAAGCCCTGTGTTCTTCCCCTGGTGACGCCGTGCTGGGGTCGGCCTGCTGTGACAGGTCCTGTGTCCACGCCCCGTTCCACGCACTAGCCATGGGCTGGCCACGGGCAAGGATTGTGCCTCTTCACCTGTACGTTACTCACCGTGCAAACCTAGAGCCTCGTACTCGGCAGGCGCTAAATAAATGCATAGCAGAGCGAAGCAGTGTGGCTTCTGTTTTCAGTACTGAAGTGCTGATGAGATGAGTATGTCTGGAGCACTCCACAGAGACGTCCCTGTCGCTAACATGTGCAGGCCACGCAGCACGGAGACTGCCGCCACCCTCCCCTTGCAGGGAGTGCTCGAGTGGTGGCGCCGTGTCATCCCCTGAGTTGGGCATCCCTGGAGGAGTTATCCAGAAGCATTTCTTGACCTGGGAAGTAAATGTGTATATCAGGTAGGTAGGGTGTACCGAACCCTAGGGACCAGGGCATCCTGATTCAGCTGCGTTTTAAGGAAAACGTGGCTTGTGTAAGAAGGCCCAAGGTGGGCCGACAGCCATGCACAGGGACCGTGGTACCCCCCCAGAAGGAGAGGCACCCCCTCTGTGCATCTCATGACTTAATGAGGCCGATCACCCTCCCAGAAACCTCTCAGCAGCCTTCATCATGTGTCTCATGAGTGACAAGCCTCTTGTCCGACTCATGAAACCAGCAGTGATGGGCCCTGGGGCTACACAGAGGGCCTGCTTCTGGAGGGGACCAGTGTGCCCAACTGAGTGTCCCAGGCCGGAGAGGGGTTCCTAGAGTGACCAGGCCCAAAGTACTGTTCTATAGTGGGGATGTAATGGTTGCACGTTTATTTTTTGTGCTTATATCACTCATTCCTATTTATAATTATGTGAATAAATTGTTGCTCTGACACTTTTTTTTACTCAGGCGACTATACAACAATCACTGGGTGTCAGCGTAAATGAAATTGCAACATAATAGTTTTTTTTAACATAATAGTTTTTATGTTTCCTTTAATGTGATTCTATTTTCCAAAGAAATGGGGAGACAGGTAGACTTCTGAGGAAGTTCCATCAAACTGCTTTTCAGATAGAGATTTCTGTCAGCTGTAGACCCTGACTGGGGGTTGGTCTTTAAAAAACAGTAAGCAACACACGGTAGGATCCATGACCCTATTAAGGCTTGAGATTTTTTTTTTTTAAGATTTTATTTATTTATTGTGTGGGAGATATCAGAAAGGGACACAGAACATAAAGACTTCTAACTCTGGGAAATGAACTAGGGGTGGTGGAAGGGGAGGAGGGCGGGGGGTGGGGGTGAATGGGTGACGGGGACGGAGGGGGACACTTGACGGGATGAGCACTGGGTGTTATTCTGTATGTTGGTAAATTGAACACCAATAAAAATTAATTTATAAAAAAAATAAAACAAGAGACCAAATAAAAAAAAAAGATTTTATTTATTTATAAGAGACACAGAGAGAGGCAGAGACACTGGCAGAGGGAGAAGCAGGCTCCCTGATGTGCATGCAGGGAGCCTGATGTGAGACTTGATCCCAGGACCCCGGGATCACACCCTGGGCTGAAGGCAGGCACTAAACAGCCGAGTCACCCAGGCCAGGGATCCCTAGTGTTCAAGATTTTTAACACTCCTTTTGTTTGAACTTTGAACTGATGTGGGAAAACACATTGCAGCGTTTGTCTTGTTGCCTACTTGTATAATCTGTTTTCACCAGGGTGTACTGAGCCAACATTTTTCTCTTGGTAATCAGTATTTGTTGGGCTTTAGGTTGAAAGCATTGTGTTTTCATGCTACATACATTGCCAGAGTTGCTGGAAATGCTAGATGTTTGCCTTAAGTCAAAAGGACTCATAAACCCTTCATCCACTTGTGTATATGTCAAAAGACAGCTATTGACAAAAGATGCCATCATCTTGCTGGCTTTCCTTTGGCCAATTCCATCTGAAGTGCCAGCGGTGAGGACAGCTAGGCCTTGCTGCCTGCAGGGGTGAGCACGTGGCTTCCCCCATGTCTGTTACCATTTTGGGCTCTGGTGCAATTCTGTCCTGATGACTGCAGCTTTCTGCACAGAAAATCAGGTTTTTTGTGGCGGTTTGTTCTTGTATTTGATAGTTCATAGTCCCGTTCTTCTACTTCGATCCAGGGTAGTTTTCCCGCTAATGTTAAACTCCAAGGGGGTTTAGGTTGTAAATTGGTACCTCCGTGTAGCCAAATCCTGCCTGTGATGGCCTGCCCCGGAGACAGCTTGTGTAACATCCCAGGTGACGCCTGTCCCATGTCAAAGAAACAAAGCCACACTGATGGCGTGCTGAGGGCAGACCTGACTGCACTAAGGGGTCCAGTGTGAACTAAACCAGTTTCCTGGAAAAGAAGGCTGGAGACTTTAATTTTTAAAAAAATTTTGAGAGAGAACCTGAGCAGAAATGGAGGGGCAGAGGGAGAGGGAGAAGCAGACTCCCTACTGAGCAGGGAGCCTAATGTGGGGGCTCAATCCTAGGACCCCGGGTCCATGACCTGAGCTGATGACAGACACTTAACCGACTGAGCCACCCAGGTGCCCCAGCTGGAGACTTTTTAAAGGCTGGGTGTGATGGGATTGGTCTGTGTGACAGGCCCTGGATTTGAGTTGGCGCTTCTCCTCCTATCTTTATGTCGGGAGGTCGTGGGGCAGGTTGAAGCAACCTAAATTAGGCCCTTACCCTCCTGGATATTTACATTTCAGAGGCAGCTCTGGTTCTTAGGTTCTGGTGGTAGTGTTACATCTCAAAGGGCAGTGGGAGAACTTGTAATTGCCAGCTTTCTAAAAATAACTGCTCTAAGGGGGTTCAGGGACCTGCTCATGCCCATGTTCTTGTTGAATCGAATAAATTTGTGATCATGTAGCTTTCTCTGATGGGTATTTTAAAGGGGTCCAGGGTCATCCTGGGTACACGGCCTTAAGCTGCTGGAAGCGGTGGAGTTTGGTCACATCGCTGCGAGAGGTGAGGAGGGGCCCTCCTGTGCCAGTCTGCAGGCCCTGCCCTGCCTCACCCCGTCCATGGACTTGGTTTGATTTCCCACTTTATTCTATGGCCTTTCCCCTGCAATTCTGCACACACAAGTGACACCACTCAGCTACAAAAAAATTAAAAAGAGGGACACCTGGGTGGCTTAGCGGTTGGGCATCTGTCTTCAGCTCAGGGCGATTCCGGAGGGATCGAGTCCCGTGTCAGGCTCCCTGCATGGAGCCTGCTTCTCCCTCTGCCTGTGTCTCTGCCTCTGTCTCTCATGAGTAAATAAATAAATAACATCTTTAAGAAAAAAATTAAAACGATGATTGGTTCTTTTTCATCTGGTGCCTACACATTTGTGTATCCAAAAGTCTTGTTTTGAGGTATGCTGCCCCCACACACTGATCTGAAGAAGGTATAAAACCAAAAGGTGTTTAATTTGAAAGCGGTTAGGGACTAGCATGCTCCTCAGTCAAAACAATAGGATGGTTTATATATTTGGAATCAACTCATACTAAACTGATAGAAAATTGATAAAACACTAAAATGAACTAAGGTGGAATATTTTCTGACATCAGATGTCTATTACTTAAACCACTTTATTGATTTTAATACCCTTGAACACCCTTGAACAGATTTGAAAGGAACGGGTCCATTTATACAGATTTTTCACAGTATGGTACTATATATGCATTTTTCTTAAGATTTTAACATAATTTCTTTTCTCTAGCTTACTTTATATAGGGGCACCTGGGTGACTCAGTGGTTGAGTGTCTGCCTTCAGCTCAGGTCGTGATCCTGGAGCCCTGGGATCGAGTCCCACATTGGGCTCCCTGCGTGGAGCTGCTTCTCCCTCTGCCTGTGTCTCTGCCTGTGTGTCTCATAGATAAACAAATCATCTTTTAAAAAAAAAGAATATTGTATATAAATCCTATAATATACAAAATACGTGTTAAGGCTTCCATTTAACAGTAGGCTATATTAGGTAAGATTTTGGGGAATCAAGTTATATGGATTTTCAACTGTGCATTTGGTAGACTGGTGGGGGGCATGCTGGTGCCCCCCAGGAACCCCCACGTTGTCCAAGGGTTGACTAGATCTGAAACTTTCATGCAAAATGACTAACTTCTTAGCCTCATTTAAATTTTTTTTTTATTTGAGAGGGAGAGAATGAGAGAGAAAGAGCACAAGCCGGGGGATGAGGAGGCAGAGGGAGAAGCAAGCCCTCCAATGAGCAGGGAGTCCATGGAGTTCGATCCCAGGACCCTTGGGTCAGGATCTGAGCTGAAGGCAGACGACTTCACCCACTGAGCCACCCAGGCACCCCAGCCGTCTTATTCTTAAGTAGCCCCTAGAAACAAATATTTGATGTTTACCTGATGTATTTTGGGACAAGAAAAGAAGAAAATAAACCTGAGAAAACAAACCAGCTAACACTGACCCAGCTGGACCCGCGAGGCGTTTTTCCACAGACCTCAGGTGAGGGAACACTTAAGTCTTCACAGCCTGCAAGGGGAGTGCTGACGTCTCTGTGTTTCAAGGCCAAACCTGAGGTACTGGGAGCTAACCTGTCCCAGGCCAGGGCACTGAGGGGCCGGGCAGGCTGCGGCTGGAGCCAGGCCACAGGGCTGGGCAGGAGGGAGCGGGTACCGGCATCCCGCCCTTTCTACAGCCTCCCACCCACAGCTCCTTCCCTGCAGGCTCACTTCAGTTCATTTGCGTAAAGGTCTGTGCTATTAAAATTTCCTGAATGAAAAGGTCTGTAAGTATGTTGATATGTGATACCTAGCAAAGCCTAAGTATGGAAAATAACACCTTGAAATCATGAATAAGACTCCTGTTAAGTGAAAGCACACTCTTGTTCAGAAACTCACAAGAACTGAAATACATTTTTAAAAGCCCCAAACTTAGGATGATTTTTATTTACAAAAGAGATTGTTTTGTTTTACAAAAATTACAAAAAACAACTCTTAAAAATAGAACTAGCTTCTCAGACTCTTGGGAACTACTCTGAAGCCACTAAGGAATTAGAACTCAGAGGTTTTCTTCTAAGCATCATAAGGGCATCTATGGATGCTGTATGTCTTCACAAAGAGGTGCCATGGCCCTGGGCCTTTCCTCTGGCGGCAAGGGCTCCGGTCAGGCCAGCGTCTGCAGGAGCAGGATCTTCTCGTTGATGCAGAATCTGTGCAGGACCACCATCAAGTTCTCCCCACAGCGGGACACCTGGCGCTCCATGGCCAGGCGGAAGTCCTCCTTCACGCCTTTGGTGATGCCCCGAGTGACTGTGTGGTGCCTGAGGGCAGCGACAGGGAAAGAGACGCACACCACACTGAGTGCCAGCATCACCGTTCGGTGTTTCTGGGGCAGAAGTAACATGTGTCTGAGCATTAAGCACAAGTAAAAAAATTCAAAAAGGAAGAAAAGCCCTAGCCAAACAATCCCCCTGCTCATTCCTTCTCAGAAAGACATAGAACTAGAGCAACATTTCCCCCACTCAATAAAAGGCCAAACATCTAAACATCCGGTAAATGCCAGCCACTCTGCTTCTGAACTCCTGCAGCCCTGACACCAGGCAGCCCTGTGCTGACCTGTGCACAGCTCTGTTCACTGTGGGCCAGCGGGGTCCAGGCCACAGGGCCACACAGGTCATGTCCAGACAGGCCAGCCGAGTGCAGAGGTGGGAGCAGGGAGGGGAACCAGGAGCCACCACACTGAGCTGGGGCCTGGGGCCTGTGTGCAGCCTCTGGGGTTGCAAGTGCATCTGTCTCCTGGCAATACCAAGAACAGGACAGCTCTGCCAAGTGCTGAGCCCATCCAGACTCAACGTCTGTTGGGGAAGCAGCAGGAGGAGTTGGCCGTCCCAAGACAAGAGCCTGGCAGGGGTGGGGAGAGAGAAGCAGACTCGCTGAAAAGCAGCCAGTGCCCTGCAAGAGCCTGCTAGAGACCAGATCTGGTCCACGTGGTCAGGAGACGTGCACGTCTGTGGGAGGGTCAATGGGAGCCCAAGAAGAGGCTCTAGCTACACCTGAAAGCTGTGAAGAGGAGACCACAAAAGAAATCCCAGAAAACCAAAGACATCAAAATGAAGAAAAGAAAAATACAGCGAAACTCAATGGGTCGTTAAAAGGAAAGAAGCTCTAACTACCAGGTCAGTACTTTAGATCAGTAGTAGACACCTCCATTCCCCATTTTGATTGCCTAACTTCCCTCAGACGCGGTAACAGAGATTTAAAATTAGATATTTACATGTTAGCCAAAACAAAACTGTTGAAACCACTCTAAAATGTTCCTGGTGTTGTTGTTTTAAACTTGTGTATCGTCATATAAAACAAGTACAACAGAAGTAAAAAAGTTGCAATGCAACAGAAGGAAAAACAAAAGTAGGCTGTGTGAGGCTAGTAGAGATTACGGGACAGCCTAATGATGCCCACGGGCATTTGAAAGAACTGCGCGACCAAACAGCAGCAGACCTGCGCAGAAACACAGTTCCTTGTCAACATTCCGGTGCCAGTGAGGCTGAGGCCATGACTCTGTCCCACTGGCAATAGGCACAGACCTATTTAAGCTGTCCTGAGACTCTGTTCTTCTGGGTCCTGGAGGGCAACCCCCCATGGGAGCCAACCCTCAAGCAACCGAAAGTTACTGCTATTTGCAGGCAGTGAGCTAACAGGCTTTGAAAGGTCAAAGCAAACTCTCCCCTTCGTGCTAGTAAACCTAGAATACAATGTCTGTCCTATTGATCATGGTTCAATGGTAATGCTTCTATACATAAGGCAGTACAAGTCCACTGTACTTGTCTCATTCCTATCCGGTCTCTATCCCTCTGGGGAGTCTGGATGAAGAAGACTATTAGTTATTCTGTGGTTCACAGGCAGGAGACATTGGCTGGCACATGCAGGATACCAAATATTTTCAGTTTCAGAAAACTCAGTGTCAGTGGTAGGAAAATGTTGTGCTAAGGCCTGGTTAGACCACAACATCAACACTGGTCCCTAATTAAAAAATCCATGATGAAAATTTACTTCAGATGGGCTTCGGCATTCTTCAGTCTGTAAGACTGAATGCCTTGTGTTTTATCAAATAAATCGAAGTCTAGGGGCCTGACCCTAATGGGCACTTCACCTAGCACAGTTTTAGATCTTTGTTTTCCAGATCCATAATGATTTTTAAATTGAACACAAAAAACACTGGCAACTTATGGAAGAAAAATAAGAAATGTGACAATATTACAACCAGATGGTTTTGCCAAGGAATGCAGAACAAATTAAAGAAATAAAAAAAGCATGAAAAAGAGCGCTGAGGAACGAAGAGCTGAAGACCATGGGCGGCACAACATGTTGACAAAACGGCACACTATGAGCAGGTGTGTTTCCACTTGGTACCTGTCAGCAGTCTGTATGCTGGGCTGAAGCACAGGTAAGAATTCCTGCTGCAGTAACCCCATGGGAGGGCTAGAAGGCCTTTAAAAAACAGCAAACAGCAGCATTCAAACACCCACACCGACTCACCCTGCACTGCAAAAACAACACGCCAGAGAAAATGCACAAGACCAAACAGACTATACAGAGAGTCCCTCGAACCTCCACGCCCCCGCCCCCCTGCCTCCCAGGCCACGGCAGAGTCTTTGCGGGGTGGGGGGTGGGGGTTGAGGGTGGGTGGCTGAGGGAGAAGCCAGCGGCCCTCTCCCTGCACCTGCCACTGGGGAACATCCAGAGCATCTTGATCCTGGGCCCTGAGCTCAGCCCACTTGAGATCTGGTGTGAAAACAATCAGCTGTGCCCCTGCCAGTCCCAGAGATAAACCTGGGGACTTCTGGGATCCATCTCTGCCATGATGGAAGCCCCAAATTGAAGAGGCCCTTCTGAGAGGACTCAGGGGCTTGGCAATATTTTTGATAAAGAATGGTTGAGTTGGAAGTTCAAAAAGTATTGAGAAAAGGAGCAGATGGGGGAAAAAAAAGAGTCTGGGGCCCATAGCTTTGCAGAATTTGTAACAAAGATTTAGTGCACAGGACACGTTTTTTCCATTTTCATCCAGCCTAATGCAACTCAGGTACCGCAAATACCAGCAGAGAAATAGTTCTCTATTTTAAAATGTATGACCAGGACGCACTCACAAGCTGACCCAAGGGGAGGGCTGTACACTGCTCACAACACCCTGGCCTCTCAGCTGGAGGCACCACCCACAAGGGCTTCAATGGCTTCAAAGAATTTGTTTCGAGCCCAAAGGGAAAAGGAATACAGTTTTACTCAAGATTTGGATTCTAGCCCCCTCAGGAAAAGCTCTGTGGCTTATGCAATTTGCTTCTCCTGGTGGGTTAGGCCTAAGTAATTTGAAATGCAGGTGTCAAAGGAACTTTTGAGACTTGCATAGGGAAGAATGGGCAAATGTCTACAAGGCTAGCTCACTCACTAACTATCCCTATTATTGCTTCCAAATGGATGGGTTAGCAGGTTTCCCAAGGTGCCTACTGGTCTTCTACAGGCAGTCAGAAGCAATTAAAGTTTATTTTGCCCAGGGCGGGAGAGCATGGAATTCTCTTTCGAAGCCCAGAAATGCATGCTACGCATCCTCACCTTGCCCTAAACAACCCTTCAGAGTGACACTATCTGCGTGTCCAGGACAGTGCCTGCTTTCATTCCTTATCCTCGGGGTTGTCTGCATGTAACCAGGTCCGTTTTTCAGCTCAGTACAAACTGGCTACACCTCTAGAGGAAAGGTTCCATGTGATGAAGCCTGAGATGCAACTGTTGATTTTCTAACAGTCCACTCACATTTTCACAGTTAAGCACTATCTGAAGTGAAGTTATCATCTATAAGTTTAAAATGTGGTTGATTTTAAGGCTGTTCCTATGTTATGATAATTTGTAAAGTGAGTGTTAATGTGAATTAACTGAAAAGCTATTAATATTAGGTGTGTTTTATATATCCAGCCTCAAAACCTAGAAATCTTATTTTTAAGCCCACAAAAGGGGATATCTAAGCTCCCATATCAACAAGTCATCATTGTTCTCGAACACTGTCAGGAATATTTTAACCATGCAATTCTTCTCCCCAGAGTTCACTTGCAGTCTTAGGGAAGGGAATGGAGATGGGAGGATGAGCATAGCCACCCCATCTTGCCTAAGCAGCCTAATGCATAAAAGTCTCTCATGTTTCCAAAAAAGAGCATTTGCTCTTTTATTTTAGATGTTTAGAATATTTATAATATTTACAAGATGAAGAACTAAAAGCCCACTTAATCTCCTCATTCCTTAGAATAGATTCCATAAGACCCTCTTCTCAATAGCAGTAATGTTCACTTTGCCCCAAATTACTATGATTATAAATATCGAGAACGCACATCTCATACTTCCTTCTCAACATTTCTAAGGCTTTACAAAGACAGAAAAAGATGTGGATTTTTGCTCTCCACAATTGAAAACTCGTTCATTTCACAATTGAGAGAAAAAGGACAAGGTTTTCAGCTTCCACAACACTCCCTTCTCACTTGGGGCTCAGTCTCTTGCAGTGACTAACACTGACTCATAGCCATGCTGAGTCTGCAGGACGCAAAGGAGAAAGTATGAAAATAAAGCTACGCGTGGCATTTACAGCACAAAGGATCTATTGCCCAAACTACAATGAGTATTGAAGGATAGAAGCAAGATTTATGAGCTATTTAAAAATCATAAATGGTCACTAACTTTGTCTAGGGTGTGGGAGGGCCTGCCTGAGACCAGGCACCCCACCACTATTTCTTGGGGCAGGCGTGTTTTTCTTAAGAGGCACTAGACCCTGCCAGTTTCCCTGGCGCTATGCAAGCAGTGACGACTGCTTGGGAAGGCTTCATATAAATACTGAAATCCAAGTACAGTTTATAAATAAATAAAGTCTGCAGTTTTTCCTAATCTACTACAACTCTAAGCATGGCTCTTCTTAATTAAAAACATTGTCTAACCGGAAATTTATAGGATTAGCCTGTAAATTTTGGAAAGGAAAAGATACTCTGAATGAGACTTCTGTTTAGTGAAAGGGTTTTAAAAGTGACAGAAGTACCCCAATTTAAAAAATGTTTTATCAGAAATGTAGTTAAGGAACCATCAGGTTTCAGAAGGACCTAGACTCCAATCTACTCTCAAAAACAGACACCAGGTTTGGATTCCTTTCTAGGAAACTTCTCAAAGCTACAAAACTTACAGATATTTCTGACAAGCACATGAAAGGTGAGCACTGGAAGAGCAAGACAACATGCTTACTTGATCAGCATTCCTTGATTGGGTAGCAATTCCAGATGAATTTTCCCACCTTCCTGAGTTCTTAAGTAGGCGAATTCCTCCAGCATATCGATATCTGCAGGTCAGATTCAGGTTAACCACGTGCAGAGACAAGGTGCCCCCTCTCTTGGAGGGCCAGGCTGGCAGGCTGGCAGTGACTGACTTGCCCATGGCCACCCCACCAACTGGGTCCTTACCAGAACCCAGGTCGGTCTAAGCCCCAAACTAAAGATTCTTATACCAACTATAACGCCTCATAAAGAAAAATAGGTTTCCATACAGATTCTAAATAAACAGATTCTATATGGTCCTAACAGCAAAATCTTTTGATTTCTGAATGCAAAATGAAAAAGGAAGTGGGGGTGCTGTATCCCCAGAAACAGTTTAAGAACTACCGCCCTAAAGCACATGGAAAGGATAGCATGCTCCTCACTGTTCAAATGTGGTCTTTCCCTACAAGGGTATGAAACACAATGCTCCCAGTTGTCCAAAGCAATGGCTGGGCTGGGCAGCATGCGTGGTGGGTTCTCAGTGGCAGCTGTTAACAGCTGGACATGGTGCTCTACCAGCTGACCCCAGGGGACAGTCAGTGCTCCCGGGGAGGCCACTCTGGGCCTCTTAGGAACCGGAAGCCTTTAATGTAGGCATCTCAGTATCTTCCTAGAAGTTGCTAGAGGTGGAAAGTGGAACTGAGTTACTGGCATTTCTGATTGCTTTTGTCACTGCTATGAGGCCTTTTACGACTCTCATAGACCAACTGCCACAGGCCCATTTTTAATGGTCATTCTTTCTCTCTTTCCCCCAAATAGTGAAAACCATTATTTCTACCTGGAATGATTGTTTCACTTTTGTACCATGCATTTATTCTAAAAAAAGAAAAAGAAAAGAAAAAAAAAGTCAGGATTTCTTATGCTTAAACAGGAAAAAGGATACTTGTAACATAATTGAAAAAATTCTCATATTGAAAATTTCCTTGTTGGCAAATCTTATTGACGGCTTTCAAGAAAAGATTCTCTCCCCGCGGCCACTCTTGCTGAAGCAAGACAATCACATGCCCCAGGGCCATGTCGTCCCTGCTGTCTGTGAAAGCTCGGAGCTGCAAGATAAGGATTGGCACAGACAAGAAAGGAAGAGGAAATACAGGTTGCTCTTAAACATACCAAATGTTATTTCCTAAAACAAATGCTGCTCTAAGAAACTGTGAGACACAGGGAACAAAGTAGAACATACACCTGCTAGGCAAACATCACACTGCCTTCTGAAGGGTGGGTCCTATCCAAAGAGGCTGGAGTTCCCTCCGTGCTACAGACACGGGCCCTGGCAGCGGGTTCAGTGAGTGCCCTGATGGGAGTGGGGCGTGCACGCTGTGCCTGAAGCTCTGACTTTGGGGCAAGGGCGAGAGAAGCTGAGGGGCTCTGCACGCCAGAGAGAGGAAGTCAGGGATTTCTGTGAAGGGGGCAGTTGTGGGGAGAGGGTGGGCAAGAAGGCTGGGAAGGGAGAGAACATGGCCTGGGGAGAAGGCAGCAAGCCACAAGGAGGGAAGCAAGCTGCCCACAGAGAACAGAGGTGGCCCAAGGCCCTCAAGCTCTACATGAGCTGCTAGGTCTCAAACCACACTTTGAATTGTTTGTTGCCTCCAGGGATTCTGAGGATGCATAAAGGCTGGGAGTTCTGGCCCTAAAGCAGAAACCCAATACTGCTGTTCTCTGGCTCACAAACCCGGTGCTCAGGTCCACTGGCAGCCAGGGGCCTGGTATTCTTCCAACAGCCTGGAAACCTTCCCAGCAATGCTGCGCCTTTGCTGGTGTTTGTCCAAATGCCTGGAACCTTTCACCTAACCCCATCTTTATAATCATAAACTCATCATCCTTCTAGGAACCCAACAGCATGTGTATTCTCTTCTCCTAGCTAATAGATCCCAACATACATTAATTCATAAAATATTTACTGACCATCACGATGGGCCAGGTCATTTGCATAACTGTCCCACAACTACCTGTAAACTGCCCGAGAATGGGGATCATTTCCTACTCATTTGTGCCCAGTGCCATCCACAGTTAGTATTTGTTCACTCCTAGCCCATGTGCTCTCCCCACAACACCAAGACACTCCAATTCGTCAGAACAGGGTTTCAGATGGCATTTTGAGCATGTCAATCAACTTTCAGCTTACCTTAAAACAAGCCAGCATTAAGTGCAGGCAGTACGGCATGATAGCCTTGCTGGTACAAGGCAGCAGCTTCAGATCTGAACCTGGGGACAAAAGTCCACAATACATCTGTTATCAAATAAAACAGCTTTGTGAAGCGTATGTTTAAGAGGCTTTCCAGAAAAAAAGGTAAGCGACAGTCACCTGATTGCAAATACAGTTAAACCATGGTTATATTTAGTGATGGCGAAACTGGTTTTAGAGTGATCTCTGGATTTCATTTATCAATCCTCTTTTCTAACCTTTCTTAAATACTTTTTATGGAAAGACATTTCAAATGTAGAGAAAATTATATAGAGTGTTAGAAACACCACTGTGCTCCACACTTGGTCTAAAATGTTAAATGTTTTGTTTTAAAGATTTTAACCTAAGGTCTCACAAATTTAGTGGAAACCTCTTGAGCCCCTTTTCAGATCACAGAATCTTCCCTTCTCCCTAGAGTACCTATTTTTCTGAATGCGGGGTTTCATATTCCTTTGCAACACCACCGAGGGAAGTTTTGCACGTTTTCAGTCTACTACATACCTGGTGTCATATTGTACACATCCTCCTGCAAACTGTTTTCCATACTAATACCTATAGATACCTATTTGATTTAGTTCATTGGCTTTCAATGTTTATTCAGTATTCTGCTATTTACATGTGCTGCAATTCATTCAATCATTCTTTTACGGTGGACAGTGGGATTTCCAACTTTTCACTATTATGAACAATGCTGAAATAAACGTTCTCACATATTTTCTTGAGCACTTACAGGGAAAAAAACTTTAGGCAATAGTTTTTTTTTTAAGTTTTTTTTTTAAAATTTTTTTATTTATTTATGATAGTCACACAGAGAGAGAGAGAGAGGCAGAGACACAGGCAGAGGGAGAAGCAGGCTCCATGCACCGGGAGCCTGACGTGGGATTCGATCTCGGGTCTCCAGGATCGCGCCCTGGGCCAAAGGCAGGCGCTAAACCGCTGCGCCACCCAGGGATCCCCTAGGCAATAGTTTTCAAACCAAAACCTTAATCCTTTCCTTTATGGCATGTGCTCTTTATATCCTAAATCCTTTGCTACCCTGAGCACAAAAGGAGCAAAAAGTAATGGAGATCCTGTATATATATACGTATTTACAAATGTTTATGTACCTAAAACAAAAGGTTCATGAAATACAATTTAAATTTACCCTTTTTACAAGAGATCCATTTTGATCACAGTAACTTTTGTTGGTATTTTAACTTTAATGTGACTTAAATTTATTCACCTTTTCCTTTCTGCTATGTGCTTTTTGTGGCCTAAATCCTTTTCTACCTAAAGGCACAAATAAATTTTTCTGTATTTTCCTCAGAAAGCTTGAAAGTTTTACTTTTCACTTTTATTTAAGACTTTTATTTTATTTTATTAGAGACAGAGAGGCAGAAACACAGGCAGAGGGAGAAGCAGGCTCCATGCAGGGAGCCTGACGCAGGACTCGATCCTGGGACTCCAGGATCATAGCACGGGCTGAAGGTGGCTCTAAACTGCTAAGCCACCGGGGCTGCCCTACTTTTAATTTTTAAATCTTGAAATTTAAATAATTTTTGTGTAGTGTGAAGGAGGGACCACATTTTTGTTATTTTTACATTTGGATCAATTGTCCTAGCACCACCTATTGGTTAAATCATTCTTCACCCACTGAACTGAACTATCACCTGTTTCTCTGTTTCTTGGTTCTCTGTTGTCTCATCTGCCAGTCTCTATGCCAACACTATGCTATCTTTATTACTATAGCTTTAAAATCAGCTTTGAGGTCAGCTAGGCCCAGTCTTAACCCAGCTGATCTGTTTCTGTTTCACAGAGACACATATTTTTGAAGGGGTCAGGGCTATCCTTTTTTTTTTTTTTTTTAACCTTCCATATAACCTTAAAGAACGTCAATAGTGATCAAGACTCATGCTTTTGGGCACCTGGGTGGCTCAGCGGTTGAGCATCTGTCTTCGGCCCAGGGTGTGATCCTGGGGTCCTGGGATCAAGTCCCACATCAGGCTCCCCACAGGGAGCTTGCTTCTCCCTCTACCTTCGTCTCTGCTTCTATCTCTCTGTCTCTCATGAATAAATAAATAAAATCTTAAAAAAAAAAAAAGAAAAAAGACAGTCATGTTTTCATCTTCTAGGAAATTTTATGTCCTTATGAATCTACCTACTAGTCACAAAGACCTTTTCTTCTAAAATGTGTTATCGCTTTAGTTTTTCCATTTAGTCTTGGCTCCATTTCAAATTAGTTTTTGTGAATAATACGACATACATTTTTTTTATTTCTACACCTTAGGCCCTTTGTTCCAGTACCAGCTGGTCGAGGATACCTTCCTTTTTCCAAAGAATTACTCTGGTGCCTTCACTGAAAACATCTGACCTTATTTGCGTGGGTCCTGGATTTTCCACTCTTATGCCAATATTGTCTGGATAACTGTAGCTTTATATTTAAACTCTTGTCATTAGGTAAGGTAAGTTGCCCAGTTTTGTTATCTTTTTCAAAACTGTTTCAGCTAGTCTGGATTGCACTTCCCTATAGATTTTAGAATCAAATCTGTCAATTTCTACCAAAGCTGCTGGGATTTTCACTGGAGCTACAGATATATTTGGGGAGAAGTAGAACCCTAACAAACATGATCTATGAAAATGATTTTGCACTTTTCAATAAATTTATCCTGAAGTATTTTATGTTTATGTTATCCTATTTGGAGATTCCTAAGGCTTTTCTAATGGAGCCACACACGTAGCTGCAAACAAAGGCAGTCATATCTGTGAATGAAGACAACTATTTTCAACCTTCATGCCTTCCTTTTTCTTGCCTATTGTGTTTGCTACAGTTTCCAGAATGCTAAATTGAAGTGGTAAGAACAGACACTCTTGTACTGTGGCTGATCTTGGGGAAAGCTTTTGCTATTTCATAGTTAAGGATGATGCTGAGGAACAACTATGTCTAGTTTGCTAAGATTTTTTTTAAAAATCATGAATGATAAATGCAAACATAACCGAATCTTATCTGCATTAAAAGAATCATATGAATCTTCTCCTTTACTGTGTTAAAGTGGTGATATTACAGTGATTGATTTTCCTATGTTAAACCACCTTTGCATTCCCAGTATATTTGGTCATATGTGTTATCCTTATATATTCAGTTTGCTTTAAGATTTTTTGAGGATTTTGGAATCTATGTTTATGATGGATACTGGCCTTTTAACGTTCTTTTCTGGTAATGCTCTTATTTCATTTTGCTATTAGGGTGATGCGGGCCTTAAAAACTGAATTGGGAAGTGTTCCCTCTTTTTCAAGGAGAAAGGTGTTAGGTGAAAGGAGAAAGGTGAAAGGTGTGTAGGATTGGTGTTATTTCTTCCTAAGTGCTTGACAGAATTCACCAGTGAAGCCATTTAGATCTGGAGTTCTGTGGGAAAATTTTTAAAAACAAATTTAGTATCTTTGAGAGATCTGTATCTATATGAAACATTCATATTTTCTATTGCATTTTGTGTCAATTTGTACAAGTTGTGTTTCTCAAGGAATTTTTTCCATTTCATCTAAATTGTGAATTTACTGGCATAAAGTTATTAATAATGTATTCTCTTAATGGCCTTTTGGTTTCGATAGGATCTGTTGTGACATTCACCCTTTCATTTCTGCTCTCAGTAACTCATATTCACTTGCTTCCTGGTTAATCCTGTTAAGAGCTTATCAATTTATTTTTCTCAAAAAAGCAACTTTTAGCTTTGTTAATTTCCTCTATTTCATTTTCTATTGCACAGATTTCTGCTCTTATTATTTCTTGTCTTCTACTTTTCTTGGGTTTCACTTGCTTATCTTTTTCTAACTTCTAATGTGGAAACTTAGAACTCTGATAGTGAATCTCTCTTCCTTTCTTATATAAGCATTACAACTTACTGTATATAGTTTATTAAGCAATGTGCTACTTGAGGTGAAGCTCAAAATAGCCTGGGAGAGAAATGTCAGGAGACACTTCTTAACTAATCGTCTGCAAGTCTTCCGAAAATTGGTAAAGATAGGATAAGGAATTCACGGATATTCTTCAGAGATAACAAACTTGGGAAGTGAAGAGAATCTTGGAAGAAAGACAAATTTACAGCTGCTTATGAAATCAGTGCCAAGGACAAGCTTGGCAGGGATTAACTTTTTATATAATTTGTCAAGCCCTGCAGATCATATAGTATTATTTCATCAGGAATCAAAAAATTTCCCAGTCTTGGGTCCTAAAGCCGTATTTACAAAGTAAGAATAAAACTTGTCATGGTACCTTTTCTAAATTTGGGCTTTATTTTTGAGGGTTCTTCTTGTGATTTGCTTCCATCTTGAATGGGGAGTACCATGTAGCACATCAAATCAAGGACTTTTTCACATGTCATCTAAAGAAGATCAGATGAGAAGGTACCAATTTTAAATTTTCTGATTGAAAGCTAATCAACATAACACTAACATACATGTAGCATACAACTGGGCAACCTGTGCACATGGAGGTTCGTAGCACTGCCTCAAGACTCTTTGTAAGATCATTACTGTTTGCTCAACAGCAAACAGAAAAAGAAACTGAGATCGAATTTAGGTACTAGACCTTTGAGGGAATAACAACTCATTCTTTCCTGTTAAAACAAAAGAACAGAAATTAAAAATTAATGAAATATTAACTAAACTACCAACATGTTTAACAATAGAGTGGCATCCAAAGGAAGTATATCCATCTTAAAGACATTTACTAACTCATTGAAAAGAAAAATCAACAAAATGGGACATAAAGTAGAACTAAATGGAATGATATAGAATGTAATTTAAAATGAAGGAGAAATATACGCAGGCTAAACTAGCTGGAAACAGTTCAGGTTGGAAGGTTACCCTTATCTAAGCCTTAAGGGAAAAGATTTGGAATGTAGAAAAGAGAAAAAAGGGTTTTTGGAGGAAAGGACGATGTGAAAAAGGGCTGGGTATTTGTTAGGTGATTACGTGAGGGGAAGGAATGCATGGTTTAGGAAATAAACAGATAAAGTGGTCCATAGCAGTGGTGGAGGCTGAGGAAGGCCTCAAGTGCCACACAACACAAAGGTTGCTTTCGATCCACAGAGTGGATCACCTATGAGTCCACCTGTTCATATTCTACTAGAGCTAGATTTCATTTGGGAAGCATGTTCTATGAGTCACACAACCTTCTTATTATCCTCATTTTATAGATGAGAAAGTGCAGTCTTAAACTCATGCTTCCCAGTCTTAACACACCCAGAAAATGTTTGTAAGGCTGCTCAGAGCCAGTAGGACTGACCTGGGGGCTCTAGCTGCCCCAAGCCACAGCCAGCTGAGAGCATCGGTATCTTGGTACATCTAGAACCCAGCTAAGGCCACAGGGTGGTGAGGCTCTAGCTTTAAAAACCTGAAGGTTTGGTAGTTCAGGACTTGAACACTGGAGTTTGACAGCTCGGTGTGATAACTTGCCCTAGGTCACAGAGCTAGGAAGTGGTAGGGACACAATGTGTCCCCCAGAGTCACACACCACCATCCTTCAATGTACACCTCCAGCCAATCCTTTCCTTAGATCCTTCCTTGACTACACGGACTCTGGTGAAAATGCTCTTCCCTGAATGCCTACTATGCCTGTATCACGGACATACTGCTTAAGTATGTAATTTTTAACGTTCTCCTATAAATACTTGTACTTTTCTCTGTAACTCACATTATATGTCCTGATGCAGGGATCCCACATGCCCCAAACCCTGCTTATACCTCCACTCCCAGCACACAGTTCAACTCTAGGCACCTAGGTAGTCAGTATTTCGATTAAGTGGAATAATGATAGCAATCTCATAGAAAGCAATGACTGTAACTTAGAGATGGAAAAAGATTATACACAGAGCAACTCCATTTAGAGCCAGGGATTAGGGTCCTGGCAGAGGAAATAAAAGGCACTACACCAAAGATACTAAGTTTCATGCTGGAAGACTCAAAAAGATTAGCCAGAGTAAGAGTTAAGAGTCAACCCACGACTCTACAGTTTTATATCCAAGGGCCAGAGAACGAAGGAAATTCTCATCTGGACATGCTGGGTCGGAGCTGGAGACAGCTGCAGAAGCTGAGAGTCAGGAAGCAGGTTAAGGTAGACACTAAGGATGCAGGCCTAACACAGATCAGCTTTAACACTAAGGATGCAGGCCTAACACCGATCAGCTTTAACCCCAAAGAGAATAAGTTCATCCAGCTTATTTAAATCTATTTATTTTATATTCCCCAATATGACGCTGAACAGCAGTGCCTTGTGTAGTCTTTAATTCTACGTGATATATGGATATCTGGGTAGGTAAATATGTGTTCTCCTTCAAGTTCTCAGGAGGAATTCACTGGAATGAAGATTTAGGTACCTGATAATTACATAAAGAATGGCAGAAAAGTATTTTCAATGCACATACTTTACATACTGTTTCCTCCTAAATATCATCATGGCAAATTATAAATCATATTTCAAAATTCAAGTTTAAAAACTTAATTCAGGGTGACTAATCACAAAATAATCAACTTAACATATAGAAAGATGAAGAAATCAGAGTTTGTGTGTTAAGTTGTGGCCTTGAATTTATGCTGTATGAATGTGCTTTTTAATTAATTTAATGTACATTTTAATTGAATTCAAACCTTAATATTAAGTATCAAAGCTGTGCAAACTTTGTGGTTTGTGGTAGGTGCTAAGAGAGATTCAAAGGTAGAGCACATGGTCCCCACCCTGTGGTAGGAGGGGCTCATGACTACCGGAAATAGACTTGTTTACATGTCTGCTCTAGCAATACCCAGTAGCAGGTGTACTCATCATGTAAAAAGAGAATCTGAGGCTCAGATAAACTAATGGAAATCCTCCATTCCCACCTAGTAAATGTCTTTTCTGTCCAAGTATACAAGAGGACTGATTTCTCTCTAAATGGTTCCAGATAAGAAAGTAAAGAAAAAAGAAACCCTCCTCCAACAAAATGGAATGAGGACAGAAAACCTGAAAAGTACTGAAGCCTAATTTCAGGGAAGACATAAGTAAAGAGAAAACAAAGTAAAACAAAATCATCAACATTTTTACCAACAGATTAAGTGATAAAATCCAAGCAGCAAAATCCTCTTTCAAATAAACATACAGAATTAAAAGGTCCTTCCAGGGTAAAGAGGAGGCCCCAAGGTAGCTGAGCACATCTGAGGGCCCTCCCCACTCGCAAGGCACACATTACTCACTCTGTACTCCCCTAGAGCAAAGTGGCAAGTTGCTAGCTGGATGAGTGCCCTCTGATGCTCCAGTGTTCCCTGTCCTGTGATCTGTGGCTGAGGAAGTGATCCCTGGAGAGCTGCTAAATGATGCAGGCTGGCTATTGCTTTTTTATATTGACCCTAAGAAAGACATACCAGCAAAGAGGTGAAAACCACCACCATCTAAAAAAATCTCCAGATTTGGGGTTCCTGGGTGGCTCCGTAATAAGTTAAGTGTCTGACTCTTGGTTTCGACTCAGGTTGTGATCTCAGGTTTGTGAGATCAAGCCGAGTAGGGCTCTGCACTCAGCATAGAGTCTATTTAAGACTCTCTCTCTCTTTTTCCCTCTGCCTCCTCTCTGGGCTTATTCTCTCCCAAATATATTTTTAAAAATCTCCAGTTAATTATGTAACTAGCAAGCAACTACAAATAAGGTAGCTCTGTTTGATCATCTGAGGAGGAAAAAGATTTAGCAATAATTAAACCAACTTACTTAAAGCTAGATGGAGGGTTCTCTATGGAGGTACTTGATATGGACAAAGATTTTTTTCTCTCTGGTCTTAATTTTTTTTTTTAAGTTTGTTTGTTTACTTATTTATTTATTATTTATTTATTCATGAGAGACACACAGAGAGAGAGGCAGAGACACAGCCAGAAAGAGAAGCAGGCTCCATGCAGGGAGCCTGACGTGGGACTCAATCCTGGGACTCCAGGATCACGCCCTGGGCCGAAGGCAGGCGCTAAACCACTGAGCCACCCAGGGATCCCTATTTATTTATTTTTTAATAATCTCTATTTCCAACATGGGGCTTGAACTCACGACCCCAAGATGAAGAGTCACATGCTCTACCGACTGAGCCAGCCAGGCTCCCTTGGTCTTAATCCTTAAGACTAAATAAAAATCACACAAACTTTTAGATAAAATATGTCTTGGATATGCCATTTCTTAGAAATATTTTACTACTAATGCCATTTCTCTTTATGTAGAATGAAGATAATTTCAACAACACAGGTTGGAAGCTCTGCATTTTCTTGGGGAATTATTAGCTCTCTCCATTCCAGGCATATGTAGCCCAAGAACAGGACAGCAAGGCAGAAGGACTCCATCAGAGTAGAGAGGAGGAGGCGTGAGAAGTATTCATCTTTTATTGAAAAGTAAAAACCTTACTTTTACAGAGAGGTATAGGTATAGCTGGACATAGCAAAAATAACACAGAAGATATGGGCTTGTCATTTTGGAGTTATTTTGAGATGAAAGTGGACCATAATCGCTCAGAGCATGACTAATCTACAGAAGGAACATTCGCACCTTACATGTTACAGTTGCGTCCCAATAATAATCATCCTGTATAGACACAGGAACTTAAAATACATGACTCTACCTGATAGATGATCATATCGGTGAGGAAGATTCTTAACCAAAGCCAAGTATCTGTCTTCCATGCCAAACAAATTCTTGTAAATTCTGAGAATTAAGAGCAAATTTACCAAAAGCATGTTAACACAGAAGCCGAAAACAAAACAAACGCACCACAACCACAAAATTCCAAAACATGGATTGTAACTATCAACTCTGATTTCTAAAACAATGGTCTAGAATCTCAATTAGTAAAGTTAGAATGTAATACCCACCAGTAATGCCCAGGCACTATTGTTATCAGGCCTCAATATTTACTAAGCACACACCATTGTCCCAATGGCTGTTCAAAATGTTTTTCACATATTACCTCATTATCTTGTAAATTACTTTGTTTTCCTCAGAACAAAAGTATCATTTTCCTTTCACCCAGCTTAGATAATAAAGATACAACGCTAAGAGTTTTACTCATTTTTTAAAAAGTCAAGTTATAAGTAAAGGAAAAATCCCCCAAAGGTCACATACATGTTTGCAATTCTAGATGTGACTGGGAGAGATGGAGGGGTGCTGTATTTACCTAGAAAAAATGACACAACACATTTGACCAAGGGTTCTGTAGAGGTATATGACAGCAGGCCAAGGGATGAAGGGCCACTGGCCAGAAGGAAAGGAAAAATACACTGCTGAATTCTAAAGTATGGCAAAAATCCACTAGTTTCCTTAGTCAGTTGAAATAGTCAATAGTTATAAAACTCCCCATAGTTTTAAGTCTATTCTCAAAGGAAAATGGGCTTTCTGTATGGTGAGTTTTTCAGGCAGATAAAAACAGCATTACCTTTTGTATGCTTAGCTACATGTGACTAAGGAAGATACAAAGTCGAACAACTAAAAACACAGAATAAGCCCAGCAAGAAAAAGAAGAGGCCAGCAATACAAATGTTAAAAGACCAAAATCTCTCCCTCAAACTCCACCCTAATCCTAATTATAATAAACGTTCAGAGTAGAAGCTAAGATGTAAATGATTATTTGAATATTAATAATTATATAATACACACTGGTAACACTGATAACAAATTAAACAGCACCAATATGACAGGCATGTTCTTACCCTTGTCAAGGAATTCCAGGGAGTAGAGCAACTCCCAGCTCTCCCTGGCTAGCTTAAAGCTATCCAGCACTTCGATGGAGTTAGCAAGCTCAGCTTTATTGACTATGATGTGACGATTCCTGCCTTTTGCCGAACAGTCTTCGTCGTCTGAACTCTGCTTAGAGAGGGTGAAAGAAGCGGAATTAAAGTCATACACGGATGACCCTTCAACAACACAGGTTTGAACTACACAGATCTGTTTGCACATGGATTTTTTACAGTCCAGCACTTAAATGTATTTTCTCTTCTTTATAATTTTCTTAATAACATTTTCTTTTTCCAGCTTGATTATAAGAATATAGTATATAATACATAGAACATACAAAATATATGATGATCAACTATTAATGTTATAGATAAGGCTTCTGGTCAGCTATAGGCTACTAGTAGTTAAGTTCTGGGGGAGTCAGAAGTTATACAGATACATGACTGTGCAGACAGGGGCCGGTTGGCACCCCTCACCCCCATGTTATTTAAGGGTCAACCATCCTCAGACACTGTTATGTTTATTACCTCCAATTCTGATTACTATATGGATTTTATATCAAAGGATACTATCATGAGTATCATTTTTTGAACTTAACAATTTGGCTTTAAAATTAATATAAATTTTTCATCTTTTCACTCTCACACATTTAATTTTTTACCTTAAAACTAAGCTTATATTTTTCTGATAAATTCTAAGCTGATGTTGACTTCTAAGTAAAGCTATGGCGTTAAAATTTGCAATAGTTTAAGAACATATTGATGTTATTAAAGCCCCAAATAAGAGTTTTACATTCAGAGATACAGGTAAAGTAGCATATGTTTTATAGTTTATTTTTTCATGCGTGAAATCATTTAATTTGCTTCGAAAGAAGTTTATCACGTAGAGGAATAAAATTAATGCCCAAATGCCCTAAGAATCAGAGAAATGACTTTTACTTGTATTTTGTTCCCTATACATAGCTTCTCTCACGGCCAGTCCTCTCTAGCTCTGCTCTCCCAATGCAAAGTGTCGGCCGGGAAGTAGGTTTGCCAGTACTCATCTATTAATGCTTTCTGTATTTTACAATAAAGAGTCCTACTTTCCTTGCTCTTCATCTCAAGAAATATAAAATCAAAGAAAAGAGAGCTCTCAGAGAATTGCACCTATTATAAGCACCAGTAAGCATGGTCAGACAGTTTGCCAAAAAATAGTAAAGGTAAAACAGCTCCACTTAATTTTATTTTGCTGAGAAATTCTTGACTCTCTTATTCCATCTAGATTATTTTACTAACTTAATGACCCAAATCAAATTCTCCATCATATTTTTACACCACTATGCTCATTTAAGTCTATGTACAAATATTTCAGCTGAAAGCTCCATTCCTCAAGCTAATCTCAGAAAAAATAAGCACCTCCTTCCCACTACCCACCTTTCTCCCCCACTTTCAGAGCCTGGTATTCTGCTTATCCTTGATGCTTGGGAACCCTCCCTACCCACTCTATTTAGCTGCCATATTCTTATCCTCCCTCAGTAATGACACATACTCAAAACCTGTTAGGTATCCTGCTTCATCAGGGCCCAGTTCCTTGCCACATGTTGCCAAACTGAGAGAATATACTAATATGGATGTGCAATTCATTGTTCCAACTTACAGAAAATATTCCTGCCTCAAAACAAGATTGGAAGTTTATGGAAGGGACCTCAGATATGGTGGGAATTGTTTCCAAACAGTTTCTGAAATTGATTCTGAAGTGCAAACATACACTCTGAAGTTTTGGCCAGATGCTGTAAGCAAGAACCCTGACTATAGGGAACATACATAAGTATGTATGGGTAGAGAACACAGTCCACAGGAGAGGCCAGCGCCCCCACCCTCCCAGCCACCTGACATGTCACACAAGCCAGGGACTTAGGCTGGGTGGAGAGCGTATGCCTGTCTGAAGAGGGCAGCCTCCATCTGGCCCAGTATATCAGACATTCCAATTACTAAAGAGAAGTCAGACGTCTCAACTGTTGTGAGAAATCTCCCAATTCTTACATGCTACATAATGGAAAGAAACAAAACACTATGAGTAAGACAAGTCTATAGGCTGAGCTTTATGTCCTCTGCTGTGATGGCACACATAGACACGACTGGACTTGTGGCAGGTCAGGATAGGTCCCACAGTCGTAGGATAGAGTGAAAACCAGGAAAGATCAGTTAAAAGAGTAAAAACAAAAACAGATGGAAACCCAAGTTGGTTGGAGGGGTAGAGTATGAGAGCAGGGCCTCCTAGATGACACAGGAGAGGTAAAAACAGAAGGAACCAGAGGGCCAGAGGGTTTAAACAGCTATTCCATGGCTGGACGCTGAGTCTGAGAAGAAAGACTAGGAATCTCTCATTCACTAGCCGCAGCTCAAGCACTATCCTGATGTCCAGAATAGAAGACGGACAACGTCCTTGGCCCCACAGAACCTGTACAGAGCTTATGAGGAGACACAGAGAGTAAACCAGCAAATGACTAAACCAGAAAGTAGGCAGCAATAGGGGGTATGCGGAATTGAAATAAGAGTAATAGAGAAAACTGGTTGGGCATCTCTAGGCCTCAGAGGGAGAAATGCCTGGGCTGACAACTCAGTGACAAGGACACAGGCTGGTAGAGAGCACAGCTCGGAGGCAGACATCCAGGGGCAGGAAGGGGCTCAGAGCACTACAGCTGCTCAGAGAGGCCAGTGTGTCTGCAGCATGCAAAGGCCTGCTCAATAACTGCTCTGGAGCCAAAGTGGAGAGTTTGAGTTTATTCTGAGCATGATGGGAAGCCACTAGAGGTGGTAAAGCAGGGGAATGATGTCTGACTTGTCTTTAAAAAAACATCACTAGAGCTGTTGGGAGAAGAAGAGACTGTAAGGAGCTAGAGTGCAAGCAGGGAGACAAGATGACAGCTCTTGTGACATATGGATGGTTTAGACAGGGAGCAAGAGGTGGTAATGGAGAGAAACAAACTGATGGAGCTGTGTTACTTATACTGATTTGTATAGGGCATGTCATTGCTTTCAGACAAAACTAGTACTAGACAACCTATCATCCACATGGCAGGAAGGGTGTCTATGGTCTTAACATGAGGTGCCTGGACAGACTACACATTCACGGAAACCAGAGGGAGAGCTGACGGCATCTGGGAAAGCCTAGTTAAGCAGAGTTCTCAACCTGGGGCTACTGGCTGGAATTCAAAGCATCTCTGAACTTCTGAAATTACTGGTGAAATTGTGCATGTGTGCATTTTCTGTGGGAGGAAACAAATGAGTTTATCAGGTTTAATAACCTCACAAGGCTTCAGAAAGGCTTCACCTTCCCTGCTCCATTCTGTACTACACAGCCAACTAGGACCTACAGGCCAGATGGTGTTTTTAGCAATAAAGTTTTCCTAGAACATAGCCACCTCATCTGTTTCCTATTGTCTATGGCTATTTTTCGTACTGTCACAGCAGAGCTGAGCAGCTGCAACAGAGACGGTGGGGCCTGTAAACCCTAAACTGTTTGTTACCTGGCCCTTCGCAGAAGTCGTCTGCGGACTCCTGACCTCCACTATCCTGTTACACACTGCACCTCCACTAAGCTTTCATTGAAAGCATCACTCTGCTGTAAAATAAGCTGAAAGATCACTGTTCTGCCCAGCCTGCTGCCTGGCCCCATCATAAGATTAATGGCTCCTCACATTCTCTGGCGTCCCACATGTCTGTGCAAACTGTCTTATCTTCACAAAACCCACCTCCCCAATTCCAAATGACAAAACCCTCTATATCCTTCAAGGCTGATTTCAAATGCTGACCTCCTTCATGAAACCTTTCCAACACATCTCCTTAGGTTGTAATGACTTTCTAGCCAGAACACCTTGGCCCTTTCCATTCTGAGGCCAGGACTCAGCACAGCACTCTGTCTACGTGTTCAAAGCAGTTCATTTGGCTTTGCTTTTTACCTTTAATTGATGCCATACAGTCATGAGAGGTAGAACTAACTTATACCAGGGTTTCTTTACATCGGCCTTTTGGGCTGGACAAATCTTTGCTGTGGGGCTGTCCTGTGCACTGTGGCACAGTTAGCAGCAAGGGATGCCAGGGAGGCCTCTACAAAGTAGATACTAATAGCAACTCCGTCCCACCAAGCCATGGAAATCAAATGTCCTCAGATACTGCCAAATGTCTCACCACCAGTTAAGAACCACTGATTTACATAGTAATTATAATTAAACGACCCAAGCTTTATCAATTTAGCTCCAAAGCTGTATTTTACATTCATTTTCAACAAACCATAAACATATAATCTGTTAATCATATCTGAAAGGATTACCATGGTTTTCTCTCTTCCCTCAGCTAGTTTCCTCTTTTTATGTATATGTTTGTTACGATCAATTTCTACATCACCATACACATTTGACACATCCTCAAGAAGAACCAGTGGCACTTGGCTTGGGGCATTAGGACCTATGGATAGGGGGAAAACACCAATACTTAAAAATGCAGCGAAGAAAGGAAAACTTAGTATTAAGTGGAAGTTTACTCAGCAGTCATTTAAAATAAAGGTCATGAAAAAGTATGTTCAGTTTGATCTCAGGTAGACAAACATGAATAAGAAAAAAGACTGTACGGATATACACCAAATTATTAATAAAGGTTCTCTCTCAATGACAGACTACAGGTCAAAGTTCCCTCTCTGTATTTGTTCTTATGTATATACAAATTTTTTAGAGTGATCACGAATCAGAAAATTAGTGAGACACTTAAGACCGTGAAGTTATATGTTAATATGTTATAGCTACAAACTCCAAACAAAACCTAAATATGTGAAAGACTAAGGTCATACACAAAAATGAGAGCTGTGTTATACTGGATGGGTAGGTGATTTTACTCTTACCTTTCTATTTTCACATTTTTAAGAATTTATATGCAAAAATATTATTTAAAAAAATTTTCGTCTATTGCAAAATCTTTGTAAAATCTACTTCAGTACTCTGCTATATCTGTTGCTTTTTCAAAATAGAGGCACTAAATATCTGTATTTAGTTTCATAGTACCACTACATCCTCTGATATAGAAATTTTATTACTGGGATCCCTGGGTGGCGCAGTGGTTTGGCGCCTGCCTCTGGCTCAGGGCACGATCCTGGAGACCCGGGATCAAATCCCACATCGGGCTCCCGGTGCATGGAGCCTGCTTCTCCCTCTGCCTATGTCTCTGCCTCTCTCTCTCTCTCTCTCTGTGTGACTATCATAAAATAAATAAATAAATAAATAAATAAATAAATAAATAAATAATAAATTAATAAATGAATAAATGAATAAATAAATAATTTTATTACTTAGTTACTTAATCAAGTGGGCTCCATGCCTGGCATTGAGCATGTGAGGCTCGAACTCACAAACCATGAAATCAAGACCTGAGCCGAGATCAAGACTTAGACACTTAACCGAGTCACCCAAATACTCCAATTACAGAAATTTTAAATGAAAATACATAAAAACTACCAACAAGTTAAAAAAAGCACTAGTGTCGCCCACAATTATTTGGATTCAAGAACAATGTTAAGGTAAACATTTTTATCTTCATCATTCCAGCTGAAGCCAGTATTTTGGGAGACTCTAAAGTTCTTCGACCAACCTTGGAATAGAGATGGTTGTATGCTGTTGACATACTGGAATGCATTCTTAAAGAAGACCAACATAGTGGAATAAACCACTTGGTTTTTATACTTTGCATGAGCTTCGTTATCAAAATTGTTCATGTATCTGCAGAGATCTTTCATTCTGTGTAAAATATCACCATAGCTTCTGAAAGATGAAGGATGAGAAAGATTATTTAATTACCCTGGGCTTTTTGGCAAAAGGTCTAGAGAAAAGCCCCAATAGAAGCATGACATTTAGCAAATGTAGCTGGAGGTATGTGTAATTCCCCTTCCAAATTAGAGCAGTGATCAGACCACTGTTTCAGGACACAGACATGATAAAGTAGCTACTCTTTGCTCTGAATGCCAAGGAGTGCTTCCAGCTCTTAAGATTCATACTTCCGTTGGGAAATATTTTAATAAAGTGAAAAACCACCCTCTTTGCATAAATACCAAGGTTACAGAAGTAACCTTGAAAATAACCAAGAAAAGTGTATCTACTTATTATATGCTTTTTAAGAGAGCGTTTTTGCCTTTAAAGATCCTGGGACTACGATATCAGAAGGCTAGCTAAGCAATTCTGGAAATGAACAATTTTCTTACCGTCTTCCTTTGTCCATCTGCCATTCACATCGCATTCCAACAACATTTAAAATCTTAAACAACCTCTCCCAAGGGTCCACAATCTGGGACGATTTTTCAGTCAGCCCTTCTATTATATACTTCTGAGAGCTCCGTTTGCTAGGTGACATTAAATCAGATGCTTCCTGGGTACCTGGGAAATGAGAACAAAGTAGCCTACAATTATTCTTACCACTTACTATGTATGTGGTACTTGACAGAAAATGACAAAGTCTGAATCCCTATTCCCAAGGCAAGAGCACAGAATCACATTATGTGTTTTAAAGACCCACAATTGGCCATGAGTATAGCAAGAAATGCATTTTGAGCTGTGGTATGTGGAGGAAGCTCAGTACACTAACATTATGGTTCAGCAAGTTGACTGTTCCAAAGGGTAAAACTGGCTCCAAAAGTCTCATTTCTTACTTGTAGTATTTTTTCTAGGAAATCACCTTTAGAACACTATCAAACTAGTATGAGAAAAACCAGAACGAGGAGGGATTTCTGAGTTTGTAATTTACTAGACTCTGTAAAAATAAAATCACAGGATATTCTCACTTACCTTGATGCTGACTCTCTATTTGAGTAGATCTAGTGACATAATTGATATAAAATTCAGCTGCTTTGTTTAAGTACTTATATAATAAATTGGCAGGCAATCGAACATCATGGTTGTTAATTATTAGAGGAAGGACATCACAAACTGTTGAAGAGGAAAGATAAGGAAAAAAAAATTTAAGTTGTCTGTATATTAGAGGAAGGACATCACAAACTGTTGAAGAGGAAAGATAAGGAAAAAAAAAATTTAAGTTGTCTGCCCTACAATTCTGATAGAAACAAAATTTATTTTAGAGTTCACTTATTGTGGTATCTAAAATATATAGAAAAAAAACCCTTTATGGCACATTTATTTAAAAACTGCAGTGCACAGGGATACCAGTAGATGGAGTTAGCATGGAAATCCATAGGCAGATTTTACATTATGGAAAAGGGCCTAGTTCTTACACTGGGCGACAATTCAGATGTTTATTATTATTTTTCATACTTACATCTATGATTATACATATTCTTTCGGATACCAAATATTACATAATAAAAATCCAGAAGTTGTTTAAATGTTTTTCGGACTAAAATAAACAAGGACTTAAATTTCCTAATATAAAAAGTTCCTTTCCTTTCCACAAAAGACCTCATCCCTTAAATGATATTTACTCCAGCGTATTCTACTCACCACAAGGAACTAAAACAAAATAAAAATTTTCTTACCAAATAATTTTCTAAAGCAGTTAACAGGAGATTCTTGTTCTTCAATAGTTTCAGCCTCTAATAATGCTTCCCCAAGGCCGACCTGTTTCAAAATATAATCAGTTAAACGTGTTACAGTTTAAGATGTCGGAATTACATACAGAAATGGCTTTTTAAATTTACCAGTTTGTGTATGCCAACTTCCCCAAGAAACAAATACTCTCATTTTAAAGATTAGGAAACAAAGGAATACATCAGCCACAAGGCCCAGAAGGAAACCCCAAATTCATCTGACCACTGACTACTTTATCTTGCTTATTATCCTCTGAACTAGCAATATTAAAATGCTAACAAAATGTTTACAGAAACTTAAAGGAAGCACTAGAACTAGTTAGAATGATAAAAGAGATATAGAGATTTTCTACAGAATATAGAAACTGCTCTCTAGATCAAGATGTATTATGTCAACAAACCTTATCACTTTCAAGAGTTGTCAGGAGTAGTCATTCAGCCTGGGTTAGGCTGGACATACTTTTTGACTTTTAAGGCCACCTTTCCATTACTTTCTACTATGCATTCCCTAGCAGAGTAGATAGGCTTATCAAAATCCACCCAGACATCTGCACTATCTTCCTTGGGATCACTTGGCAATACACGGGTAGGGGTAAAACAATGGAAAAGATAATATAACACAAAAAGCTAAAAGTTGAGTAATGATCAAGGAACATATTGGGTTGAATAGCATCCTCTCAAAATTCATGTCCACTCAAAGTCTCAGAATGTAAGCTTACATATATTTTATCTTATAAAAAAAAGGAAGGTCTTTGTAGATGCAATTACTTAAGAAGAGGGCATACTGGGTTGGGGCAGGCCCTAAATCCAATGATTACAATCCTTACAGTCATGTAAAGACACAGGAACACAGACTCACAGGGAAGAAAGCCATATGATAACAGAGGCAGAAATCAGAATGATATAGGTGCAAAACAAAAAATGATAAAGATTGCTGGTGACCACCAGAAGCTAGGGAGAGGCAGGAAGGATTTCTCCCTAGAGCCTTTAGAGGGAGCATGGCTCTGCCCACACCTTGCTTTTTGGACTTTTAACTTCCAGAATTGAGGGAGAATAAATTTCAGTTGTTTTAAGCCACTCGTTTTTCTGGGACTTTGTTATAGCAGCCCTAGGAAGCTAATATAGGGAAATATAGAAAAGGTTAACTAGGGCCAGAAACTTGAAAGATAGTGTGGGAAAGAATAAACAATAGAGTTTGAATTTATAGAGTTCATTACTTGAACCCTGTATCTTCCACTAACTAGCTATGGGAACTAACATATTTAAGATTTAGTTTCCTCATCAGTAAAGTGGGATACTGCCTACCTCAAGGGGTTCAGAGAGTATGGAAGGAGATACCTAACACCAATGCCTGCCACTAGCACTCAATTATTATTACAGATATAAGGAACAGAGGGAAAAGCACATGAAAAACATGCCTATTAAGACAACAGACTATGGCTCTCAGTTAAATTCAAACACACTGTTGACTACAATGGAAGAGGATTTTTTTTTTTAAGATTTTATTTATTCATGGGAGACACAGAGAGAGAGGCAGACATGAGAGACACACAGAGAGAGGCAGATGGAGAAGCAGGCTCCATGCAGGGAGCCCGATATGGGACTTGATCCTGGGACTCCAGGATCACACCCTGAGCTGAAGGCAGACGCTTAACCGCTGAGCCACCCAGGCACCGTGGAATAGGATTTTTTAAAAAATATTTATTTTAGAGAGAGAGAACATGCAACAGCAAGTGAACACGGGGTGGGGGTGGGGCAGAGGGAGGGAGAGAGACTCTTAAGCAGACTCCATGCTGAGCTGGAGCTGACTTAGGGCTCAACCTCACAACCCTAAGATCAGGACCTGAGCTGAAACCAAGAGCTATATGCTCAACTGACTATGCCACCAGGCATCCCTGGAATAGGATTTTTAAAAAAACTTTACTACACAGATTGCAAATAAACAGGAGTGTCAAAGCTTGGTGACTTTTTCCTTACACTGATTGTAAGGCAAATCAATCAGTGTAAGTAAGTGTTCCTTACACTTCTACTGGAAATTTATAAAGTTTGAAAACAGTGAAATCCTTTTAGCTTTACTGACAGATTCCTTGATTTAAGTTCAATCTTACTTAGTGCTCTTTAGAATCTCTGCTTTAGAATAATATACACTATAGCTTTTAACCCAACTGATGAATGTATTGATCGATTTCATTTTCTCTTAAGAAAGAGGAAAGGATCAAAATCATACCCCATGCTGCACCACTGTTTCAGGGAAGCGTCTCAAAAGTAGAAGCAACATTTCTGATCGTTCCAATGTGTTGAAGCATTGTTCCGTAACCTTTAGTAACATTTCGCACTGGACTCGACCAGGGAGAGTTTCAAATAAACCTGTACATAACACATTTAACTTTAAAAAATTTCTTTAAGAAAGAAGATCCTGAAGCTAAAGAGGAAATAAGGTATTTTCATGTACAAAACAGTAAATACTACATTTAGGATCATTGTTTGGTTTTATCTACAACCTAGAAGGCTTTTGGGTCAGGTGGTATTGGACACAGGTTTGCTGCAAGACCCTAAAACATCTGGAAGCCTTATTGGATCCAGAAGACAAGAATGGTGCTTGTGAAGGGTCACAACAATGCTTGCTGTTGCCTGAGACAAAGAGGATGTGCTTTGATTCCTCAAAGAGGAAATCTTTGATTGGCTAAAGCAACCAACACAGAGTGAAGGTTAACAAGAAAGGTCATAAATCACTAAAAGTCTCCTCCTGTTTTGTGGACATCTGCCTCATCTACAGATGCTTTCTGATCATTGCAAAACCTGTTAAAAACATCTTCAATTCCCTGGGCTGACACAACTACACACTTTAAGGAAGCTTGGAGGTTTCGAAGCAAATGCTCAAGGGACTAAATGACACCATTTGTAGACCTGAGTTGTCAAGAACAAAACACACATTTGTGTACCAATACCACAGATGTGAGTTTTTTTTGCAATTATGGTATATAACTTATTATTCTAGAAACAGAAATTTTACATCAAGTGTCACTCTGCTCTTACTTCTTAAAAATTGGGTTTGTTTATCCTGTGAATCGTTCCTCAGTGCTGATGTAATAATGCTGATTTCTCTCCATACCACTGGCTGGTCAGGGAAATTCACAAACCTATTTTAAAATGAATGTGTTAAATTAAAACGTCAGAATCTACATAGTATCAGAAAAAGAAAAGAACATTAGCACTAGAAGAGATACACATTTTTCTTTATTCCAAGTAAATATGTGGATATACCAAATCAAATCAAAAAGCATTTAAAAATAGAAACTAATTAAGGAAAATGAAGTTAATCCAAAAGTCTTTGGAGGTTCTTAGAAGTGAAAAAAGACAAATGTCCATAATACATAAAGCACTTCTCAATATCAACAAGAGAAAAGAACCCAAAGAAAAAAAAACCAAAAAGTGGGGATCCCTGGGTGGCGCGGCAGTTTAGCGCCTGCCTTTGGCCCAGGGCGCGATCCTGGAGACCCGGGATCGAATCCCACGTCGGGCTCCCGGTGCATGGAGCCTGCTTCTCCCTCTGCCTGTGTCTCTGCCTCTCTCTCTCTCTCTCTCTCTCTCTCTGTGTGTGTGTGTGTGACTGTCATAAATAAATAAATAATAAAAAATTTAAAAAAAGACATTTAAAAAAAAAAAAAAAAAAACCAAAAAGTGGGCAAAGACAAATCACAGAAAGAATACAGACAGCCAAGAGAGAACACCTGAGAAGATAGTCAGTCTTATTAGTAATACAATGAGCTGAAATTTTTAAAAATAACAAGATATAAAAATAAGTAAATAAGTAAATAAATAAATAAAACAAGATACCACTTTCTATCACATTGGCAAAAATTAAAATTTGATAGAAAGACTGATAATATCCAATGTCTGCAAATGTGTGGGAAAATGGGCACTCTTATACATTGTTAGTAGAAAGGTAAACTGGAATAGCGTTTTTTTGGAGAGTAATTTGCTAGTGTGTCAACATATAAAACGTGTACATACTTGACTGTGAAAATCGTTGTTTAAGAATGTACTCTATAGGGATCCCTGGGTGGCGCAGCGGTTTGGCGCCTGCCTTTGGCCCAGGGCGCGATCCTGGAGACCCCGGATCGAATCCCACTTCAGGCTCCCGGTGCATGGAGCCTGCTTCTCCCTCTGCCTGTGTCTCTGCCTCTCTCTCTCTGTGTGTGTGACTATCATAAATAAATAAAAATTAAAAAAATGTTTAAAAAAAAAAAAGAATGTACTCTATAGAAAAACACCAAAATATGTGTACAAAATTGCTTATTGACATGCAAATATGAAAAAGATATAATCCATATATCAAATACAGTATGCATACTGAAAAATAAAGGCGTCCCTCCATTCCAGTGGGTGAAGAGAGTACGCTGCAGCAGATTATGAGTAGTTTTGTTGTGACCCTTCCCCACAAAACCCCACCTGTATGTATGGTCCTGTGTCTACATGTGTATACAGACACACAGAACTTTGGTTGAGTCAGAGGGACCTTCATGTGTCACTCTCTATACTTCAGTAGTGTTTGAACTGCAAAGAGCTTGTATTATTTCCAAAATAAAACGGATTATTGGAAAGAAAAATTTTAACCAGAATAAAACAGAGGAAGACTTCTTGCAGAGTAGGAATGCCGGCAGTTAACTGAAGGCCTGGCCTCAAGACTAGGGTTCAGAGCAGGGAGGTGATCTTAAAGATCTCCTCTCACTCACACACACAGCCTCCCGAGAGGTGAAGGGCAGGGCCGGCTGAGGTCACCACAGACACTCACATGTCGTAGAGCAATCTCCCGGCGGTGGCAGTCCTCTCGGCGTTCCGCTCGATGGTGTACATCTCGTACTGCAATAGACAGACATCAGACCCACGGGTCACAGAGAGACGGCCGACACGGGGGGGTGGGGGTCACACGGAGACGGCGGACCCCGGGGTCGCGACTCCGCCCGGGGCTGGTCCTGCCTGGCTCCGCGGTCCCAACCCGCACCCAGCACCCCCAGCCCGGGGGCCTGACCCCTGAGCATCACCTGGTTACGCAGGGCCCCGGGGCCTAGCATGCGACCCTCGGGCTCCCTTTCCACCCTTCGGTCCCCAAGGCCGGCGGGACGACGTGCCCAAAGCAGCAAGCGCCGCACAAATGGCCGCCGCGCTGACAAACGAGGAGCGAGCGCCGGTCCCGGGGCGCCGCGGTGCCATCCGGCCACCGAGCCGGCAGCAGGGCCCCCCTGCCTGCAGTCCCCCGCCCGGCCGGCCTCCAGCGGGGTCACGGTGCGGGTCTCGCGGGGGGAGGGCGGGCGCGGGGTGTCGCGGAGCGGGGCAGGGGTGAGAGGAGAGGGCCCCGAGGCTGGGGGCCTGCGAAGCGCCCGCCCCTCCACCGCGCGGCCGCCCGCACCTCACCTGGATGTTGAAGTCGGCGGGGTAGAGGCTGCGGGCCGTGATGAGCCACGCTTTGGCGGCCCACAGGTCCTGCTGCACCAGCTCCCGGGCTCGCTGCACCAGGAACTCGCAGTCACCCTGGGCCGACATGACCCCGGAGGCGTCCGGCCGCCGGCAGCAGAGGCCGTTTACCTTCCGGCTCTAGAGCCGCCGCCGCCGCCGCCGCCGCCGCGGGGGTACCTTCTGCGCATGTCGGGCTGGCCGATCCGGAACCGCTCTCCGGGTTTTGCGAGGAACCGCCCACCCCCTTCCGCCTCCGGAGACCAGGATTTCTGTGCGGTCTTTTCCCGGTCACCTCCAAAATGTGGAGAAGGGAATCGCACCCTCGCGGGCTCCAGCGCGACTGTTCCAGCCAGGGAGCATGCGCGCGAGCCTGTAGTCGCCGAGCTCCCTAGGCAGGTTCTCGTAGCCTAGGGGCGGTCCCGGGGGTCCCCGAGGGTCCGGGGCGGCCTAGGGAGCGGCGGGGGCGGGGCGCGGAGCTCCCTCGGCCCGGGCGGAGTGGAGGAACCTAACCTGGCCCGGGTCCTTGCCCGGGATTAGGTTTACGAGCCAACAGTCTGAGGCCGGCTGAGGGTGCAAGGCACAGAGGGCAGGGTCGTTCTCAGCGCTTGTTCTGGCACATTTTGTCTTTCCTGAATATGTCCACAATCTGTCCTCGCGCCTTTATTCGCTGACTTTTGCCACAGACACTGAGCTGTTGCAGTAATGAGCACTTGGGAAGTGCTCTGCTGCATGCAGTGGGAGCTGCAAAGATGATTCCTGTCCCAGCAGAGGCTTGACGATGATGTGGCCTAAGGAAAAACAGGCCATTTTAATGATCTCTTTCCCATCAGATCAGTGTCATTTTCACCCAAATTCCAGATTTGTTTTCCATCTCAGAGGAGGAAAACAAAATCGTCTCCCTGCTCTGGTGAAGGAGAGGCCGCATTTAAGAGCTAGAGAAGCAATACTTACCTGTCTACTAGGAAAAATGTACCACGATGCGGATTCATTTGTTTTCAATCCAAGTTCTATATGCAAAAAGTTTGGGATCCCTGGGTGGCGCAGCGGTTTGGCGCCTGCTTTTGGCCCAGGGCGCGATCCTGGAGACCCGGAATCGAATCCCACGTCGGGCTCCCGGTGCGTGGAGCCTGATTCTCCCTCTGCCTGTGTCTCTGCCTCTCTCTCTCACTGTGTGCCTATCGTAAATAAATAAAAATTCAAAAAAAAATATTAAAAAAAAAGTTTTAGCAAGTTCTATTTACGACTGATATCTTTGATTTATTTGATTTAAAGCCAAGAGATTAAGGATTCAAAGCTGGTATGTTTTAAAGATAGGAATTACTGGGTCCTTATATACATGACAAATTATATTTTAAATAAATTATGAATATATACATTATTATTCATGGGTATATATAAGGTCTAATACAATCTTTTAAATTGTGATAATTTATAAAAAAAACGATCTTAGGGACGCCTGGGTGGCTCAGTGGTTGAGTGTCTGCCTTCTGCTCAGGTTGTGATCTGGAAAACTAGGGATGGAATCCTGCATCTGGCTCCTCTCAAGGACCCTGCTTCTCCCTCTGTCTGTGTCTCTGCCTCTCTCTTTCGTGTCTCTCATGAATAAGTAAATAAAATCTTAAAAATAAATAAATAAACAATCTTAAAGTTAGTGGTGAGTTAGTATGCTAATTTCAGAGAGAAGTACCAGAAAGGGCAGGCACAAAGCAGCAGTATATAAAAAAAAAAAGTGCTATCAAATTTATTAAAGTCACAGCTCTTTTATTTTGCTATTTTGCTTACGATACCATTGTAAAAACAGCACTTTTAAATATCTTCTCCTTTACTCAAAATGGTCAGGTGACAATCTTGCTTCCAATTCAGTGGAATCCTGAACACATTCCCTGGTGGTTACCCTCTTCCCTTCAGAATTAGGACTTCCAAATTTGCAGGGCACAAGATTTAATGGAGACAGTTAGAAAAAATTCCATTAGTGGGTTATTGGGCATATTTTGAGGAGCCACTGTCTCCTCCCACCCCTGCTTGGTTTAAAGCATATCCTGTGTCGGAGAGAACAGTTCCCCGACCTCATGGGATGTGATTTAGTTGACACCTTTATTAAGCTTCTAGTAGACCATACTCTACCATTTTATCAGGCCACCTGCTTCTGGGTGTTGGGAACAGAGTAAGACCAGTGAATGTGTTGTGCCTGTTCCCTCTGCCACATTTCTTTTGCCATAAAAATGAGTTCTTGGGCCTTGAAGTGATATTGTATGGGATACGATGGTGATGAATAAGGTGTCTGCAAGTGCATGAATGGTGGAACACGCAGAATGTTATGGGAGCAAATCTGAGTAGTATGAATTCCCGTAAAGACAAATCACTCCCTTCTCCCTGAAGAACAGGTCCAGTGTAAAGTAATCAGCTTTTCACTGCCTAGCTGACCGCTCCCTACTGAGGAAATGGTGCCATTTTGGGGGTCTGGTTTTGGCTCCTGCCTTTGGCCTTTTGGACACTCAGTGGTAACTCCAGTCATACCATCCTTGGTGAGGGAAAGTTCATGTTGAGCTGACACATAGCATCCCTGCTGTACACATAGCATTTATGCTGTCATGCCACTTTTTCCATAGATCCACTGAGCAAACACTGAATGGCTGAGGAAAGAGTAGACTGACATCCATGGGATTAGTCATCTTATTACCACCTGATTAGTGAGCATCTTCTTTGCTGTGGATGTCCTCTGGGAAGCAATTATGTAAAATACAACCGCCTTTTACATTTTGTACCCATTCTGAGAGTCCATATTAGTCCCAAGTCTCTTTTTCACCAATCTTCCAATTTTGCTCTAAGTCCTTGATCTGTCAGACAATCTGCCAGTGACTTCTCATGTCAGTAGAGATTTATACCTCAGACTGTCTTTCCAGAGTGGATTATTGGATGAGCTACCCAAAGTTCTACCTGCTGGAGATATTTCTTTTTTTAAAAAAATTTTTTACTTATTCATGAGAGACACAGAGGCAGAGACATAGGCAGAGGGAGAAACAGGCTCCATGCAGGGAGCCCGACGTGGGACTCGATCCCGGGTCTCCAGGATCACGCCCTGGGCTGAAGGTGCGCTAAACTGCTGAGCCACCTGGGTTGCCCGAGATATTTTCTTTTATTGTGTTTTTAGGGCTAACTCTGAGTGTGGCTGCCATTTGGTGGTCACCCACTTCCAGATGCAAGCACACTGTACACACCCTTGTGTATACCAGGTACTCTCATGAGGCCACAATGTGAGAGGGGAGAGGTGGTAAGGCAATAGACATATCTACATGGAACTCTGAGCCATGCTTATGAACATTTCTTGTGATTTTCAGACCTGCTCAGGCTCTCTCTTATTTACTGTATTTCCACTAAATAGTAGAATGATACTATACACTCCCATCTTTATTATGGGACCATAAATAATATTTTAGATAATAGCAAGTTCATGATGGGCACCTCAGATCACAGGTCAGTTGATATCCCTTAGGTCAGGGGTCAATGTTGACCAGGCTCCAGTAGCAATCTAGGAGCTGCTTTTCTTTTCTTTTCTTTCTTTTCTTTTCTTTTCTTTTCTTTTCTTTTCTTTTCTTTTCTTTCTTTTCTTTTCTTTTCTTTTTTTAGATTTTATTTATTTATTCATAAGAGAGAGAGAGAAAGAGAGAGAGAGAGGCAGAGACACAGGCAGAGGGAGAAGCAGGCTCCATGCAGGGAGCCCGATGTGGGACTTGATCCCGGGTCTCCAGGATCACACCCTGGGCCGAAGGCAGCGCTAAACCACCCGGGCTGCCCAAGGAGCTGCTTTTCAAATGGGCTTCCTTTGGGCTTGCACTGTAGTTCTCCTTTTGGCCCCTGTCAGAAGCTCCACACAATATACCTATGTCATAGGCATAGGATTCTATGGACCCCATACAACTTATCATTTGCTTACCACATATCAGGAGTGTGCTAATTTGCTTTACTACAAAGTAAAGATATACATCTGGAACAGTACCTGGCAGTTAACACTAATACCTTGTTAAGTTCATGATAACTCATAGTCATTCTCCAAGATCCATCTGCTTTTTCAAGGAAGAACCAGCAGTTGAATTAAGTGGGATGTAATGGGAATCACCTACCATGCATCTTTCAATAACAGAGACTTTTTTTTTAAAAGATTTTATTTATTTATTAATGAGAGACATACACAGAGAGAGAGAAGCACAGACACAGGCAGAGGGAGAAGCAGGCCCCATGCAGGGAGCCCGATATGGGACTCGATCCCAGATCTCCAGGATCATACCCCGGCCAAAGGCGGCGCTAAACCTCTGAGCCACCCGGGCTGCCCAATAACAGAGACTTTTTTATTCTACCCTCCCTACACAATGGGTCTTACTCTGTTAGGAAAACAATCAGAGGATTCTTTCTTTAGTTGCTAAGTATGTTTGTGGAGAAATAATTATAGGATCATTTTCTGTGAGATTTGTTGGACATACTGTGAGATAGCCATGGACCAAGACACCACTTATGACCTGACTGGTAGGCCAAGATGGTGCTGTGGGCCCTTGGCAGCCTCTGAATGATATTCAGACTTAGTTAACTAACTCAGAATTAATTAATCCACATTAATTCATTATCTAATTACCTTAGGAACCCAGGTTTTCTCTTCCTCAGTGCCTATCACCCCAATTAATGGTTGCACGACCTCTGTGGAAGGCTTTAAGGAAGATTCATGATATGTAATTCTGGCAAAGTTGCAAAGTCTTTTTTTCTTTCTCTTTGTTTTTAAAGATTTATTTATTTATTTGAGAGAGAGAGAGAGAGAGAGAGAGAGAGATTGTGCATTTGTGTGCATGCACATGTGGCAGGGGAGGAGCACAGGGAGAGTCCTAAGCAGATTCCATGCTGGACGTGGAGCCTGACTCACGGTTAAATCCCATGACCCTGAGCCAAAATCCAAGAATTGGATGCTTAATTGACTGCACCATCCAGCTGTCTTTTGCAAAGTGCTTGCCCTTCCTTCGTTCTTTCCTTCGTTCCTTCCTTTGTTCCTTCCTTCATTCCTTCTTTTTTTTTTTAAGATTTTATTTATTTATTCATGAGAGACACACAGGGAGAGGCAGAGACACAGGAAGAGGGAGAAGCAGGCTCCCTGTGGGGAGCCTGGTGTGAGACTCAATC